CTAGACAGTTAAATCAGGAAGTCCGTTTGTGCAAGTAAACCGGAACAATTTTCATCTTTACGTAACTATTTTATCAAGTACCTACTAAAAATCTTTACTATACTCCGCGGTCGAAATTATAGAGAGTGACGGGAACGAAAATCCATTGGCGTGTCTGCGTAAAAGGCAACAAGATAAAGAAAATAATGAAAAAAAGGTAATAAAACATAACATCTAATATTTTTTTTACGATTTGCTATAACAGGCACTTTGATCCATTTTAATTATTACACCATTTCAAAACGTCCCAATTTATTGTGTTTTTTTAATTTATAAATTTATTATAGCCATGGAATTAGACCCCTCGTCTACGCTTATGCTATGACGTTTCTCAGGACGGGTTAAATCAAGTCTGTTTACACCCAGTAAAAAAGCATTTCCCTATTTTTGTCTGACATTTTTTTAACATACAATAAAACAAGTGTAAAATTACTGTTTAATTAATAGTGCTCTGTTGCTTCATTTTCCGTTTCACTTTTATAAAAACAAGTACTAATATACATACAAAATGACACAATATTTTGACCCAGGTTTTTAAAGTTCAAATAAGACGATTTAATTAAACCTATCCATATGCAAATGTGCTTCCTTTAAATTTAGAGGATTTCAAAACATTCCAAATAACTCTCAAACGCTTTGTCGATTTAAGAGAAATTTGGTATGTTAATACTGAAGTTAGTACCTGTGTATATGTCTCCTTGTGATGTAGGATTTGCCATCTTACAAATGAGAAAATATCCCTTCTATATTTTTTGTATTCTGAAAGTTTTTAGCCTAATTTATCATCAACACTACATTGCTATATAAATAATGCCTTGTGAAGTTCGGAAACTTGTAAATGAATGTTCTGTCACGACAATTGTCTGAAAGCACCATTTTTAGTAACAAATCAGTAAAAAAAAACATACTGTGTACCTACGTACTGCTCCTAAATTAACACTTTTAATGAGATATGTTTCTGTTGTGGTAATTATAAAGTAGCTTGATTAAACCGAGTAAAAAACTTCCAAAGGAGCATTTATCAACATGCAAAATCTGTCATAATTGTGCTAAATACCACATATATGACCTTTATATGTTATTGTTAACTTAAAAATTATTGAAATTATGAGACACAATCAAAGAAATTTATGGAGAATTTATAAATGTAGGGAGAATCATTTTCCAGTCCACCTTGTTTATACATTTATTTATTTATTTGTTTCATGGTGTTTTTAGAATATGTTCTATTCTTCCTTTCATGTTCTTAGAATTATTGTTCTGTTATTAAAAACTTTGGAAAAAGAATGAAAAATTTGTAAACGGCCGATTAATTTGATAAAATAAATCATTGTCATGTTTTTTTCTATTAGTGTTTTTTTATTTATATCCGAATTCAGCAGTTTTATACTATTAATTTGATAAGTCTGTGAGCCTTGTTTTTTTTCTTAAAATGTTTTTTTCGGCTTTATCCCTTCAATTTGATACTCAGTTGTTTTTCAGCTCATATATTCTGATTCGGCAGAACATACTTTGCTCCGTTCAAATATTTTAAAAGGAAAATAGTAACTTGCAATAAAAAGAGACAATTTTGTACATCAGAATCTTGAAGTTATGTAATTATTTATAATTTTTTCGTTTTAATTACACTAACGTCTTGAGGATACGAGTTATTAAAAAATAACAACTTAATTAGGAGGTACTAGAAAATTGCAAAGTAATTATTAATCTTTTATTAACAGAGTATTCCGATTATTAAAAAAATGCTAATTACTTGAGCAAATATCTCAGAACTTAGGTAATCATCTTCACGTTGATAAAACTTCAACCAACAACGTCTTTAGAAATAAAATTGTTATAAAGGAATAAAACAAACAGAAAAATAAGAAAGGTTAGTTGAAAAAAAATACCTTTAAGGCAATGATATTTGAAGATTCAATTTTTCGTGTGACTGCCCATAAAATAATAACAAAAGAGTTATCTTTTCACCATTATTTATTAATTTAATGAGTTTAATTCCTTGCTCAATCGCGGAAATCTCCTTAGAAACCTTTGCTAAATGTTATCATAGTTATATTCCCGGAATTTGTTATTTCTGAGCAATTTTTCCATCAAAACTGGAAAACAGTTCAAATCGATTAAAATAGGGTAATAAATACGTTTTAATGTTAAAACGGCAGTGAATAAAATCAAAATCTAGGTAAAAATCAAGTCTTATGTAATTTTATTCAACCACATACTCCTTGAAAGAGTTTTTATTAATATGAATATTCTTAACTAGGCACTTGCATAAATACAAAAAATTTGGGAGATCAGGTAATTTTTTTAAATATGGCATCGTTACTATAATGTTTTGAAATAAAATTTTACACCAAAACAATAATTTTTTATGAAAATAATTTTGCCTGATCAAAACTCTCACACTGAGGAAAGCATACGTATAGAAAATATAAAATATACATCGCTATAAAAAAGAAAATTTCTTGCGATTTTAAAGTAATATATAAAAAATACTCAAATAACAATACCACGAATACTAAGTGAGATATCACTAAATTTCTCCATTACCGCAAAAGTCAAAAGTTCGGTTATTTTCTGAATAGATTCACATTTAAAACTACTTATGTACCTTTAGCACGTTCGTTTTCCTTTGTTAGTAAATGATAAAATAAGTGAATGAATTAAAATAGTTTCTTACTGTGGGTTTTCTTGAACAACTATACCTACAAGATTTATTAACTAACATTTATCGTTTGTTAATTTTATTCTGGTGGTTTTTAACTGACTTCATAGAATAAATTATTGAAGTGTTCATAAAGAACCGATGCTAATAAATTTATTTTTATGGCAAAAATCTGCAAGTATATCTATACGAAAATGTCTGTTAAGTGACATTAAAAAATATTTTCGGATTTATTATCATATTTTGTCTAAAAACTGGTTATAGTAATGGCTATTTTTAAAAATTTCAATTTGAAATTCATATTTCAACTAAGCAAATTGCTGTCATTAAAGTTAAGTGTTTCCTAATAGGCAATCAAATATATTGACTAAAGATTGAATTGAGTTGTCTGTATAGTCGGATTGGCCAAGCCCGCTGATTCGTGATTGCGACAAGTCAGAGGATTCGTTTCGTAGAGTTTCTACCAGAGGTCTAAGATTTCCGGTAAAATTTGATTGAGAAAAATTGGAAAAAAAAAATTGCAAAATTGAAATTTTATTACAGTTTATGACTTGAGAGATTCTTGTCACTCTGCTTCACCATATAAATATTATTATATATTAAAGAAAATATTTTAAAAAGAAAGTCATCAAATTATTTCCCCTATCGACAAAAGATACATATTTTGAATATATTCACGATAACGAAGAGCATCTTTCTCTGGAATCAGAAGATTAAGAAGCATCAGATATGTACTCAGATTAGACATAGACTTTGATTATTGAATTAATAAGGAGCTTTCAAAATTATGACAAAATCGTGTGTCTGTAAATGATTCTGGGAATGGCTCGTTGTTCGAATAAATTGAGATATATTTTGGTTTATAATAGGGAATAAAGTGAACGGATTTATTTGGCAACATTCTCAGTAAACTCTGGTGCATCTCCGCCTCTGGTTGGCAGAGTTGTATACCAATACGGTCAATTTTTACATTGAATTAATTATATTAAAGACCAATTTTCGTCAGCCTAAGTCAAACATGGATGGTGGTACATCATTTTTTAAGCCTCAACACCCTGAATCTTGAAAACCATTCTTCTTAAAGTCTTCGTGATGGCTTTCTCGTCTAAAATGGCCATAGGAATAACTCATGAAGTTATGTCGTAGATTTTGAAAAAACACTATACAGGGTGATCCATTAATGGTACGGAGCGGCTGTATATAGAAAACTAGACAGGCTACGATTATGGGGTAAGAAATTTATTAACAAATATGGCCAAAAGAAGTTGATTTAAAATATTTTCAAGTTTATAATTTTACCGCTAGAGGGTGCAACTGATAAAGTGTTACAGAAAATTGTCGTTTTTTCGAAATTTCGCTTATATAACCTAAGTTGAAAATACACTTTTTAGATACGCTGTTAAACCCTTCATAAGTTTAGTTTGAACCTTTTTTTGTTATTACCATAGCAACGCCAGTATGACGGACGCTATCTTGAAATTTTTAAATTGTCATAACTTCTAAATTCCTAAATCGATTTATTATTTATTTGTTTTTTACTTACAATATTCGCTTCTTTAAAAACTATCTAGGTACTTGTTTTATTTTTGTAGAATTATGAGAAAAATGAAGTAAAATTTATTTGGCAAATTGTCAAATTTGAAAGATAAAGCCTACTACTGACTATTTGATTATTCTCTAATGAACACTGTTACAATCTTATGTCAGTTAATACGTTTTTTTTTTTGAAAACCATACAGTTTTTTTAAATTTAACAAGAGTAAAAAAAAGTCTATTTTTCAATTCGGTCAATGAAAAAAAAGTTCGGTACAATTTTAGGGGTGAGTCATCCCCAATGAACACCTTGTAGTGCTTTGATTAACTTTAAATCATAGTCAAAGAAGACCAGTAATAAACCTAAATCATGTACCAAATTTGGTTCTTCTGCGATAAAGTGTTGTAGAGATATTAATTTTTTCGAAATTTAGGACCCCACTTTGGGGGGTGTACCCTTGTATATAGTGGTAAGTGTGGTCAAATTACAAAATTTTGGACACCCCTACATGCACCTGCCCTGTGTCGGTTCTTATGCGGGACAACCTGTATATTTCCCAGCTTTGTTATAGTCTGATTTAAAATAAAAACAATACCAATAGGAGTTTGAATTATACACCGTTGATCCGGTTGCTATGCAATACGGGAACGAAATTTTGGCTTTGCTTTTATAACCGGGATGTTTTTTTATAAAAAAAATCCGACCTCCGTTGAATCCGTTTTTAAATGAATCGAGTTTATCTACACATCTTTGTTTTTGTTTTAGGATGGAGGCAACTTCTGAAATCTGTAAATGGAACTTTTAGGTCCGGCGAATTGACGGCTATAATGGGACCTTCGGGTGCTGGTAAATCTACTCTTCTAAATATACTAGCAGGATACGTGTAAGTTTTTTTGTAATTCGTAATTTTCCGTATGCGAAATGTTGTTTTTCTAAATCAATTAAATATAGTAGTAGGTTTTTTACCTGTACCTAAACCCAGCCTTGCGTGAAAGGAATATTTGTTACTAGTAAATACTAAAAAAAGTGTTTATACTCTTAAATTAATGGCGTTGGGTACTAATTGAAAATTATAGAAATTAAACGCGCACACGTATGAAAGACAAATGGTTCTATAAAATACGAGGAAACCGAAAAAATAATTGAGCGCTATGAGAATAGTATAGGGTCGGAAAGTACCGATGGTCCATCTGCCGTTACGAGAGAGCGATAAAGTAAGTCATAGAAATCCGTACGATAGAGAAAGATGGCTATAATGAAGGCGTCTAATAGTCACCGCCCATTTCGCCCTTCCACAAATAAGAAGTGGATCTTATTTGTGGAAGGACGAAACGGGCGGTGACTATGAGACGCCTTCATTATAGCCATCCTTCTCTATCGCATGGATTTCTATGTCTTACTTTATCGCTCTCACGTAACGGCAGATGGACCATCGGTACTTTCCGAACCTGTATATTGTGTAGTAAAAGTAATACATACATTCTCGGAATGCAAATTATTGCATTGAGTCCAGGAATGTGCTTTTCCAACGAGATTGAAGGCATTTACGTTATGATCAAATCAAATTACTCCATGTTGAGAACAACACTTATTGTTAGTACAAAGGAAGACATTGATATATCAAGATATTTGCAATTACGTGTTTTCCTGTATCGTCAAGGTGGCAACTATAAACAAAGAAATCAAAAGTTTTGTCAAATAATCAATTTGAAACGTTTATTACTCAAGCACCAGATAATATACAGGGTGTTTCAAAAATGTGTTACCAAACTTGAGGGGGTTATAGAATATATTGCGGAAGAAATGTAATGTTATTAAGTTGACCCTAAAAGGCTTCGATATTTATGTAATTTTTATTAACGATAACGCAAAAATAATAAACTTATAATTGTTCAAAACAGTTTGTGGTAGGTTGTTCATTAGTTCGATGCAAAACCTCTTCCTCAATGTCCATTGTCCGTGCAACTTGCTTCGCCATAAATGAGATGAAGATTTTTCGATTGGCTCATTTTAATAACAGAAGCAAAATTTCGTGGCAAACAAATGTGAAACATTCAATTAAGTCCGACCATTTATTACAGCGACTAGCTTAGATGCGAGCAATAGAGCTTTTATCACGCAGTTGTGGATAAATTTTTACCAATATGGTGTGTTGGACATGCAGTTGATAAACACTTATCACAAGGGATAAACGTGTTTATTTTGTTTCAGATCATTTTTTGCGTTATCCTTAGTAAAAATTACTTAAATATCAAAGTTTTTTGACGTCAACGAGATAAGATATGCCAACGTTTCTGGGCAAAAATTGCTCCAGGGCCAAAACAGCTCATTTCCGACTATGCGATAATTTTCTACCACTTTTCCTCTATATCCCCTTCAAGTTTAGCAACACCTTCTTGAAACACTCTGTATATTTAATGGATAAGGTACGTTTAGATGCGAAAATTTAAAAATATCTAGTTATTAGTTTTTCCTTAAATTGCTTCAACATTTTGTGTTGCCGGTGCACGTCGCAGTGATCAATCAATATGAATTATATTTGAATCATGTAGATGATTTAGGATCAAAGCTTTTGATTAAAATATCGGATAATAAAAAGAAAAAACCGAGATCATTTGTGATAAATGGATCTTCATAGAAAATATGTTGCATGCCACCTAGAAAATTTTGAAAGTCGCCGCTTTTTCTTTAAATATTCAAATGGGAAGGGTCTGCAACCTTTCCCAAGTAGTAGGAATACATCAGTTTGGTACAATGCCTGAAATTGTCGCGAAACTTTTAATTTTGCCAAATGCAGATAAATACGCAGGACATTGTTTCCATTTTTGTTAATGCTGGGGTAGATTTAATCGTAATTAAAAAGACTTGGGGGATGGAAATCTTCAAATGTTGCCGAAGGATATGTAGAGGAATCTTTTACAAATAAACTAGACATAACAGATAAAATATACTTTTCGAGTAAAGTTTACTCATTGTTTAATAGTTGTACAAACTACAGCATAACTATAAATATAAACAAATTGTTATAATAAACGTTAATAACTATGTGGAATTCGTTCAGTAAATGTTGTATTTACTAAATAATGCATTTTTGATGTGAGTGTTTGCCTAGGTTTATTTTAGTGCTGTCATTGAAGCTGAAAATCAGCTGTAACCTCCGAATTCTTTGAAACTGCATGGATTTGCATGAAAATTTAGAATAAGGCTCATCTTAGGCTCAAGTTCAAAAGTGACATAAGCCCGATTGACGCTTTTTGTTTTTTAGGAGTAAAAACTACCCCTAAGTGAAAAAAATTGAAAAAATTAAGTTTTAAGCATTTTATTGAAAAAAATCTTGTTCAAGCACAAAGATTAAATAATGTTCCACGTTCTCGAAGATGTTTTATGATACATTTGACCTTTTCGACCCTTTATTTAACCTTTAAAAACTACCCCTATGCAAAAAATAATGAAAAAAATTACTTTTTAAAGATTTGGAATGATTAAATCGTGCAATTATTTAAAATAAAAGTTACCTTATAGCTAATAAAAGAATTTTTCATAGTTTCAGAGTAAATAAGGCAATTTTTTTTGAGTAATGAAAAATACGTTTTCAACTTTTACCGTACATTATTAAAAAAATACGAATTCTAAACCGGTCTAATTTCAGGATCGTATGAAAAACACTAAAACAAAACTAATTGTAAAGGGTCTACGATTAATTTTAATTCTGATGGAAAGGTACAGCGTTTACTGCTCATTTTTCCTTAAAAATATGAGCAACCCATCTGTTTTTGAGGATAACTCCTTCAATTTTGTTCTAATTAACTTTTATAAGTGCTCATTTTGAAGGTATTTTTGAGTACTACAAAAAACTCAAGGAGCGTTATACACGTAAAATTAATCCTTTTTCCGTTATTTGACGTTGAATACATCGATTCGAGTATTCCCCCCAAAACAAGTCCCCTTCCACTAACCATATTTCGCTTTGTATAGGAAGTACAACACTTTTAAAAAACAATTTTCTTTGTTTATTTATAAGCTACATTTGTGTTCATTTAACTTTTTTTAATAAAATGCGTAGTTTTTGAGTTATTCGCGAAAAATACTTTGAAAACGTGTTTTTTTCACTCAAAATTTTCAATCGTGGATAACTAAAAAACTATCGATTTCTCGAAAAAAATCCTCCAATATTATTTGCTCAAAATTTGATTCTCTATCGATTTCCATTATTTTTGAAAAAAACAATTTCTACCCCCGAGAAGGGGTGTCAACCCCCAACAGGGTGGAAGCGTCAATCGGCGCTGTCACTAATGTTCATTGACCTTTTCTCTAACTATCTGCCAAATGAAAAGCTTCGATGACTGTACTATTTATGAGTATTTCCTGTATAAAACATAAACCATGGTACGGGAAAGTTTGCTGATGGTTGCATTTTTGAACGACTGGAGATCTTCAAACGTTATTATATTCTTTCCAAAAATACCTTGTAGGACTACTGTTGATAAAGTCGTAGTGAATAGAAACAGTCTGATATTAAATGTTAATCTAAGTTTGCAACTTTAATAGAACATTTTGAAGCTTCTCGTAAACTTCTTTATATAGCTGCTGTGACGACAGTCACTAAAGTTTACCTACTGATTTTCTTTGAGCGTGACATTTCGATATCTGTACCAATTATGGGTGATAACAAAATTACGAGACATGTTAGCATTGTGCTTGTGCATTAAATAATTACGTTTTTGTAGCAATCATCACCGTCAATTCGTCCTTGACAATGTAAGTGTAACAGCTGTTGCTTAATAATTACCAGTAAAGGAGTTTATGGTAAATTAACGTTTTTCACAATGTAGTTGGTATTTCAAAACGAGTTACGTAATATTTAATCATAGGAAAGAATGCCCCTACCGATACTTCGGGAACGTAAACACTTTCAGTTCGCCTCAGGATACGCTTTCTTCCAATGTTAATTGGATATTCTGCAATACCAGTTGGCTAATAGAACCGCAACTTTCTTTATGCTGTTTGTGGGCAGCAGCGTACGAAAATCTTTACTATATTAAATTAATAATTTTGGTATTATTAAGAACGAAACTAGAAATAGTTCTGTTGAAGATAGAAAATAAGCTATTGCCAAGAACGTAATTGTCGGGTACATAGATCAAAGAAAGATTGCAACTTATTTAAAAAAAAAGTGTTCTCAAAAATTGGAGATCATTGTAATATTTGTGACAACTTACATGTATTCTGAAAAAAAAATGGCAAAAGGTAGATTCATTCAACTAATATAAATTTATTTCTGAGCCGCTTTCGAGGTTGAAAAAACGGGTTTATTTAAATATTTCTCTTGGGCTGATGTAATTAGCTAAAATTAATATAATTCACATATAAATCTGTCAGCCAGTGTCGGAGATACCGGGTGGCTTTATCATTAAGAACTTCGAACTGAGATTTCGACGCCTCTGACTATTTTGAAAATTGCATAAGTGTAAGTTTATTAAAAAAAAGTTAAAAAAGTTGGAACCTGACATATTTATTTAAATATCTGTGAATATGTTTGACCTAGATTGATGAAACTTAGGCAAATGAATTAAATATGAATGAATAACACAATACAAAATATGTATAAATTTTCCAACCAGTATGACCACCAATGAATGGTTTGGTGATAGTTTGAAAATCTCGCGTGAAGGCTGATTTCCTAGTCAGACTTTGTGATTTGTTGCCCAGGAACAGCAATTTGTAAATGCATATGCTCCGGACAATAGACCTTTTTAGTAGTGACGTCACATACGCCAAATAATAGATGACAATAGGCTTTTTTTCGCGACTGAATATTGGTGAATATCCGACTGATAGTTACTATTTCTATCTCTTTTGATCTTAGTTGTCAGATGGTAGTTTAAACCTCTTGACCCACTCACACTACACATACTACAACATACGATTTCACTCGCGAAAAAAGCCTAATGTGCACTATGGGGTTGTCTATTGTTTGGCATATGTGACGTCACTACTAAAAAGGTCCGTTGGAGATTGTTGCAGAAACAAACCTTATATCACATCGTCGTGGAGCGTATATTGTCCTGATAAGTAAATCTTTTAACATTTGCACAAAAAGAACTCCAGTACATCTGTAATAAGCACACATTTACAAGGCTGCAGAAACGTAAGAACGTCCTAAATTAGTATGCTAATTTTAATGGTAAACAATTAACACGATTTGTTGACATTAACAATGTTTAATTTTGCAATAAATTAAAAATATGTTTTCCAGAAGCCAACGCCTTTAGATTCACTAATAAGTAATTAAAAGATGTAGAAAAGCCATTTGAATTTAAAAGTTTAAGAAATTAATTTTATTTCTTCATATTTAATATAATGTTTCTTAACGCAATTTCTGAAGTTCTAGTGATACAATATACCTGGTTTATGAATGCTGCCAAGTGAAATGGAACTGGTTTTATATGGAAATAAATTGGGTTAATATATTGTTTATTTGCATAAATATGATCAATTATTAAAATTTACAAACGTAAAGCAGGTGCTCACACATATTATTGTATTGCCAATACTTTATTTGGAAATTAAATATTTATATTAATATATTCCAAGAAATAAGAAACTCGTATTATGTAATAATACGAAAATTTAATTTTCTTTAAATATACTTGTATATTCTATTATTACTTATCGTATGTTTACTTTATTGTGGTTCTTCGATACGAAAAAAAATATAAAATCAATTCAATAAATAAACATAACCTTAATTTTAGTTTCTTAATAAAGAAAATCCCAAACGACTAAAAATTTAATTTCAGTATTATGGTTTAAAATTGCATTATTTAAAAAATATTACAAATAGTTGATAAATATCAGTTCAAAGCTAGTCCCAATATTATATTTATAAAAAAAGGTCAAGGAAAGCTTTTGCTGAAATAAGTAAAATTTGCATTTTAAAACAACTTTCGCCTTGACTGTCCCATTGTTTATATTTTTATGCGACTTCCTGTCACATATTTTACTCATTATATCAAGCTGTGTTATCTCCTTTATGATTCCTTATAACATCACTTCCATTATTCATGTTTTTGTACGGAAATATTTTGATTCTTTTACTAAGGTGATGATTCTAAACTAAACAAAATTTTCCTTTATTTGTTGTTTCATATTAGAAGTAACGTGATACAACAAATTAATTGAGGAATATTTCTGAATAAAAAAACATTATTAAAAACGCATCTACAAACGATTTGTTTATCATATTAAAGTATTTCGAGTGTCTAGAAATTATTTACAGAAGTGATTCAACTTTTCCACTTTCAATTGCTCAGGAGTAGTTCATTAAGTTTGGGTAGTTTCTCTTGACATTTATATGCCTAATTACTTTTCTGAAATAAGAAGAATATACAGATAAAATCTATAGACGTAACCTTACAACGGAAAATTTAGACAATGTAAAATCAAGCTTAAATATACGAGTATTTGGCAACTGTTATAACTTATAAGGATTAAAAAAATTAAGATGTCCGTAGCATAAATATTCCACACCAATTTAAATATTTTCGTTATAATTTCTAACTACATGAATCACATTTTTGATTATAGTAAATGTTTCTTCGTATAACTTACTTCGAATGCTAGTTATTTATTATTATAAAACGTAAAGTCACACAAAGTCAAAGAACTTCGATTTCTAATACTGTAAATGTTTCATTTCAGTACTACCGGAGTGAAAGGGAGCATAAAAATAAACAAGAGACCTAGGGAAATGAAGCTATTCAATAAACTGTCCTCTTATATTATGCAAGAGGATCTGGTTCAACCCAGATTAAGCGTCAGAGAATCCATGGTGATCGCCGCCAAGTTGAAACTAAGTTCAACTATAAGCATAAAAGAAAAAATGGCAGTGGTGAGTTGGTCTTTGCGTGTACTATTTATTCTCCAATAGGTTTTGACAGATCTTAATTTAACATGTAACACTCTTAGATAGATGAAGTCATAAATCTGTTGGGTCTGGAGAAATGTTTGGATACAAGGACCGAATATCTATCAGGGGGCCAAAGGAGAAGGCTGACGGTAGCTCTGGAGTTGGTGAACAATCCTCCGGTTATATTTTTAGATGAACCAACAACGTAAGCTGGATATTTAGTGGACGAACATGTAATTATTTTTTGGATGTTTTCCAGGGGCTTGGATAATGTAGCCATCAAACAGTGTATAGAACTATTAGAGAAAATAACTCGATTGGACAGAACAGTAATATGTACGATTCATCAGCCACCTGCGTCTTTGTTTCAAAATTTTGATCAGGTAAGCCTAATAAGAGAAAATAAATTATCTTCAGCTAAAGCACTCAATAATAAAATTAGCGTACTTTGCTTAGTTGGTGAAAAGGATTTACTAAACATAACAAAGCAAAATTATTATCTGTATTTATTATTCGAAGTTAGATTAGAATTATTTCACTACAAAGGTAACAATTTGTATTACATGAATGATTAATGTATATAGTTAGATAATGCGTCGCCACTTTCTCTAATTTAAATTTACTCACTTTGTGTATAAATGATTTAGTAACTGTTGTTATTGTACTTCGTTTCAATATGTTCCAAGTCTATAAATATGTTTTTGAATTTGCGTATGGTGTTAATAGATACAGGAAGTAACGCAACAACGTGTTGTGACACACAAATTTTAGTTTGAACAAAAATATGTTTTTCTTAAGTAAATACAATAATTCACATTTTGTCAAGCATAGACAGTAATTGAAGTATTTTTGTGACAAATAGATGAATACTAATTAAAGACCCAAACACAAATATTTACAAATAAACAATGTAAATGTTGATATCGACTTTGGATTGAGTTAAAATAAGTTTATTAGGATGACTTGCATTACTAGGTGTGTCAATACTCTTGATGTCTAAGTTTAAAAGCTATTTAAAGCACAAATTTAAGTTTGTTATTATACAGGGTGAAACAAATTGAATGAACAGTAAACGCCGTCATACAGACTGAATCGGGGTTCGAGAAAAATTCGAAATAAATTTGTTTTCAGTGTCTTACTTCCAAATATACAAAGTGGCCATATAGTTTAAATAATTTATCAAACATGAATTTTTAAGGAATGAAATTTGCTTTAGGTGTATGTAATGGCGAATGGATACTGCGTGTACAACGGTTCACCTAATCAATTGGTCCAGTTTATGTCAGGTGCTGATTTCATATGTCCCCCTACATCCACACCGGCCGATTACAGTAAGTAGGCCATGATATTTATTTAGCCATGCCCATATACAGGCCTGGTCAAACTAAACGTGGAGATAGTATAAATGTATACGCGCATGCGTGAAAGCGCCGCACAAACACAGCTTCACTGGGCGACTGGGCCATAAATTTCAGTTGTTGACAAATTGCCTAGCAATGCAGTGCAGCAATGCGGAATTATTTTATTGTTGATTATTTTTATTTAATAACTTTTTTAACCTAAACTAACAACCTTTCCTCATCCTTTCCTGGCAAAGATATGTTCATACCTTCCCGTTGGTTCTTGGCGAGCAGTAATATATTTTAATGAAAATGGAAATATTTTTTGATATGTCATATCCCAAATTTACCATCAATATAATAAAATTGTTTAAGGACATAAATAATTAAAATATGTTTTTGGCCAAATGAACATATAATAGAAATTTTCTACACATTATATACAAATTAATATTATTTTTACCTTTAGCAGAAAACTTTTTTAGGGACGCCTATGAAACTCATTAAATTTTATTGCTAGGCGTTTTTATACATGTTCAACTGACTTTGGAAAGACTGTACATAAAATATATTTTTTTTTTCAGTAATAGAGTTAGTTCAGTCAAACCCAGACAATATTAACATCCTTCAAACACATATTCAAAACGGAAAATGCAATATGAAGGAGAGAAAAACAACTACAAAGAATTTCGTGAACGATACGTTTGAATTATACGAAATATACCAAGACACAACGCAAGCAGGTAAATAATTATCTTGGGTATTTTTCGACAGTAAGTCATTAAATAACAGGAATTAATTTATAACATTTGTAAAATCCGAGCCTTGCAGATATTCTTTCAAAAGTCCGAACAATGTTCTAATGGTGCTGAGTTTGAAAAGTACATAATATGGATATTGCAAACATGCCTATTGTTTGAGCATCAGTAAGGGCAGTTGGTGTTGCTGTTGAGGTAACAGTACTATATTTTTGAGTAATATTCCGGGAATTTCAGTCATATATCGTGACCTAAAGTTTATTATAGTATTTTGAATCGTTAAAAATCTACCTTTAGCAAATTTCATTGACTATATTGTTTTTTTTTGATAGAGATATGGATAAAATTATATATTAAAAAATCATTACTTGCTGCTCTGTATCTCAAAAACAAAATGCCCATCACTTGTAAGAAGAATTGTTTCATTTCGATGTTCTATCACCTCCTAAATATTTTTGCACCCATTTCCTGTACGTAGATTGACACTGCTAAACATTTATTAGTGTGACTTTCCCAACAGGCCTACTACCTGATTTTTTTCGGCATCGTGACAAGATATGACAAGTCAAGACTTGTCTATAGCTTGAAGGAATACTTGTAGGGTTGTCAGAGGTTTTTTTGTAAAAAGCATCCTCATGTCTACGGACAGGTTGTTTGGGTGCGTGCAAAGCAGAGAGATATGTAAGAACATGTCAAATAAGTCAAAACAATGTCTGTAAACGCTTTCATAACAATATTATTAAGTAATTCCTGTTCTGTAATGACTTCTGTACATATATCTATAAATTATTTTCTTAGGAAGCACGCAGCAAGATATAATCTTCCAAACCTCATTCTGGACCCAATTTAATATACTGTTGTGTAGAATGCTGCTTCAGATGAGAAGAAACCGATCGATGCTTAACATTCAGTTCTTTCACCATCTCATATCTGGACTGTTGATAGGCGGAATTTTTTTGGGAACTGGAAACGACGCGAGTCAGTCGATGTCAGTATTTAAGTACTGCATCAGCGTGAACGTATTCTTCATGTACACCTACGTCATGGCTCCTGTCCTACTATGTAAGGAGAAGAACTAGGCTATAAAAGTTATTCTGTTAATATCATAATTCATCATATTGTTGATAAAGATTATAACATACTGTGTTGATTGTTTAAAAGGAAACACAACCTAATGGGCGGTACACAATTTTTTCCATTGTATTACAGTCTTTGAAAATATTGAACAGTTGTAAGTTGAACAAAATAACAGAGTCGATTTTATTTAATTATCAAGACTTCCAAAACTGATTAACAATTTTGAAGGAATCTAAAACTTGATGTTTACAAAACATTACCTTTTGTGTGAGTCACTGAAGGTTGTCTTGATTTTATGTACAAGCACCTACAAAAGAATTAAACAGAACGCAGTAAGAATATTAAGCTTCCTAATTAAATTCCATCGAGCGTATTTCGAATTAGCATAACATGCGCTACTTATCTTTGTTGTGCAATACGCTGCATTTTTTCCAGTTCAAGATATCACGAAACGTCGTAACTGATAGTCAACAAAATAATTGTATAATTGTAAGCATGATAAGACATTAATGAATTATGCAAATTCTAGCAATTATTTAGGAAGGCTACATGCATTTATCTCTAATAAATTATTGTCACTATACTTCCAGTGGTGGTAGAATGTTTTTTTACGTTGCAACCACAACTTATTTCACTTCTGATTTAATATTATTTCGAACTATTACAAGTAAAGCATTATTACTTTAAACATATACTATTATTTTAAATATGTATTAGATTTATGGTAATGTTGGTTTGTTTCCGAAAACTACATTCGCGTGTTTGTTATTTGTTGCATCAAACGTAATATATTTATATTTATACCAGAATTGATTGTATGTATACTATTTTCAGTTCCATTGGAAGTTAAATTGCTGAAAAGAGAATACTTCAATAGATGGTACAGCCTGAAAGCGTATTATATGGCTCTAAGCATAGCCAGCCTTCCTCTACTGGTAAGATTTATAAATCTACATTTGGTTTCAATCCACAAAAATAAAGTTAAAATGATACTATACTCCGCGGTAGAAATTATAGACAGTGACTCATGGCTAACTTTTGGACTAGTAAGGGGGATGAAGCGTGCCGAGAACGAAAATCCATTGGCGTGTCTGCGTAAAAGGCAACAAGATATAGAAAATATTGAAAAAAGATAATAAAACATAACATCTAATATTTTTTTACGCTTTGCTATAACCGGCACTTTGATCCATTTTAATTATTACAGCATTTTAAAACGTCCCAGTTGTGTTTTTTTAATTTATAAATTTATTATAGCCACGGAATTAGACACCTCGTCTACGCTTATGCTATGACGTTTCTCAGGACGGGTAAATCAAGTCCGTTTACACCCACTAATAAAGTATTTCCCTATTCCCTACCAAGTGCAAAATACAGAGATAGAATATAGATCGACGTTCAGTGTAATTCAGTCTATAGACGATTAGAGATTCTACCGATGTGCGTAGCGAGCGGCACAAAGATGAATAATATTGAACCGTTATAAAAATCATTTTATATTTTATACGCGTTATAGTAATAGTGTTTTTATATTATGTCTGAGTCACTCTCTATAATTTCGACCGCGGAGTATAGTTTCTGACAGATTTCTAGATAGTAAAATAAGTACATTTAAATAAAACATTTGGTGTTATAGTATTTGGACCTGTTTTTCATTTTCAGATAGTGAATGTGTTGATGTTTGCATTCATTGTTTATGTCCTGGTCGATCTACCTTGGGAGCCTGATAGATTTGCATGGTTCTGTGCTCTGGGCTTGGCATTGTCTATGTGCTCACAAGGACTTGGATATGCTATTGGGGCATCATTTGATATACTGGTACGTAAGATTGTTCATTTATCCACATTGAGACTCAACCTCAATTAATGAAACTGTATATTTGCGCATAAAAATTTTAACATTTTTCAAACTGAGACTAATGAGGTGTTTGCATCAGAAAAATATGCACTGTTGTGTCACTGAATATTACTTTACAATGAAGGTTAATGCGATTGTCTTCTAATAAGGCTGTTTATCCCCAGAGTGTAATTGTAAGACCTTCTCTTTCTCTCTCTCTTTCAAAAAATCAACGGTATTATTTCATAAATTACTTTTTATCACTAAATCGATTGTATGAATTCTGAAAGAAATAAAATAATTAGTTTAATTTTCAGTGATAAATCTAAGTAGATGTAGAATATCCTATTTTGTTTTTCGAGAAATACTGAACTGAGACACCTTTTCTACGAAGAATTTGGAGCAAATTATATTTACCACACTCCTCTCCCCATTTTGAGAGCCTCTGATTTAAAAACAGCTTCAAGGGCTTCCTTGGCAGACTTTTCTCTGCTTATATTCATATAAACTTTTTCTTTAATTTTTACATTTTTTGCAAGCCGTCATAACCCCCAATGTACTGCCTCAGCCCGAACCAGATTCAGAAGTTTTGTCTCGAAAATTTCATCTTCAATGTATTCGTTCCAAATGTATCTAATTTTTTTTAGATTTAATTACACAAAAAAAGAAAAGTTGTATGTACTTTTCATGCGACATATGTTATCTGCAGGATTTTTGCCTCCTGATCACGAATCCAGTGTCAGAATTGAACTATCACATCACAGAAATTTCCTAACCTCAAAAAACAGGTAAAAATAGCAAAAATTAATGAAAAAGTACTACAAAAAATGTTCATTTATATAGTTAAGACTCCGCACAAGGTGAATCCGTGGTCAGAATTAATGGTTCTTTTTCTAACCTCAAAAAAACGGGTCAGATATCACGAATTTTCAAACAATAACAGATTCGCGCCAAATTTGGTATACGGGGGTTTTATCGGTTGCCGATCACGGATTCGAGGTCAATTTTGCAAAATTCAAGATGGAGGATCCAAGATGGCCGATCAAATATTAAAAAAATAACAGAATCGCAGCAAATTTGGTAAACGGGGGTTTTCGGGGTCGCTGATTACGTATTCGAGGTCAGAATTGCGAAATTGTGACCTCGAATACGTGATCAGCGACCTCGAAAACCCCCTTATACCAAATTTGGCGCGAATTTGTTATTTTTTGAAAATTCGTGATATCTGACCTTAATTGACCCGTTATTTTGAGGTTAGAAAAATAACCATCAATTCTAACCGCTAATTCACATTCGGCGGGGTCTTAACTATATAAGTGAACATTTGAATATAGAAAAAAAATTTTTTTCTATTTTTCCTAGCACTTTTTCGTGAATTTTTGCTATTTTTGACCTGTTTTTGAGGTTAGAAAATTCCTGTGATGTGATAGCTCTATTCTGACACCGGATTCGTGAGCAGGAGGCAAAAATACTACGGATAACATATGTCGCATGAAAAGTACAGACTACTTTTTTTGTGAGGCTGTGTTATCGTACACTCTATGTGTCGTTAGATCCCATGAAATCCACCTAGTTATTTAAACTATTACCATCACACGTTACAATAAAACATTATTAAAGTTTTATCTCCCTCACCTGGTCATACATAATTCGATAAGTTGTTGCGGCAAAATTAAAACATTACAATTTTAATTTCATTATAACAAATTAATTCTTAAAATGCATATGAACAACCAAAACTCCAAATGACTATTATACTTTAAAAAATTACAATTACAAACGTTTCCGTTTTAGCAAAATGAAGAAAAGCAAAATATGGTCGGAATTTATTATACCTGTAACCGCAACTGTGAAAAAGCATGTCAGATGTATTTGTATGAATATCCTGAAAAAAATCAGATGGAAATTTGTTTGAATTTTCAGCACTCGAAAAACCTTGAAATAAATATGAGCACGGGATTAAAACTCTAATAATGTTTTATTGTAACGCGTGGCGGTAATAGTTTAAATAACAAGGTGGATTTCACAGGGTCTAACGATACTTAGAGTGTACGATAATTCACGAAACATAGAAATCTAAAAAAAATGGAATTAATACATTGAAGACGAATTTTTCGAGACAAAACGTCTGAATCTGAGTGGGCCGTATTGAAGGCTTGTAAAAAATGTAATAAAATTTCTAGTGTCGTATAAAAAAAACTGAAGTTGATGATGGTTCTGGAGAGACGAAACGTTACATATAAAAATTGATCATGCCATTCAATTGAGGGCAAAAAGTTGCCACAAGAAAGTGTCTTCTTTTTTCAATATCACTTCAAACAAGGCTGAAACGAAACAAAAACGGATTTCCAAAATTCCGGTTTTTTTGAAATATTTCGAAAACTAATCATGTTAGCCTTAATTCTTTAGAGGCCCTGATTATGCAACTTTGTCCTCATTTAAGCTACTTCGTATCTCTTACCGTTTCCGAGATCCCTGTAGTGAGAAGCGAATTTGCAACAGCCTGTGATTATGATTATCTTCATTTATTCATTTGTTTCTAGAACGGCTCAGTTGTGGCGCCGCATATCCTTGCTCTGCTCCTAGCCCTCGCCGTATACGGAATGGGTTACAGAGCCGGCATAGAGCCTCTGATGAAGGTGCTAATATCAACGAGCTACCTAAGATTCGGCCTGGTGGGGTTCTCTGCCACCCTCTTCAACGACCGAAAACCGATGGAGTGCTTCGAAATGTACTGTCACTACCGACGACCGGAGTTGGTTTTGATGGATATGGGAATGACCGACACCAAACCGTCCAACCAGTTCGTGATCATCATGGGCTTCATGTTCTTCTTCAGATTGTTGTCTTATTTGTTGCTGAAATATACCATGACGTCTGAGTTGAGGAACACCATCGCTCATTATGCCACTAAGATTGTTCGACAGAAAGAACCTTAGGTGGTGTCACAACAAGGTACTCGAATCGCGAAAAGTGGGAAATTGTGACAGAAACTATTCCAAAATAGTTCGTCCAGTGTTTGTTTTCCCTTTCATTTATTTGAATTGCCACTATGCAATAGAGTTGTTTTTTTATTATATTTATTTATTTTGTTATGTTATGCACGTACTTCATCCAATAATATGTTCTTACATGAAAATTGTAAGTTAATAATTAGGTAATTAGCTACTTAGTGTACTAGTTGAATAATTTCTAGTACGTTTCTTCTCAATGGTGTACAAATGTATTTAATTTTCCTACATAGATGGTATGCATTTTAAATGTTGTCAATAAAGCATTTTTTAGAAATATTCTTAATTACTTCAAGTAGTTTTTAACTTTTCGTTATAAGTAGGGCAAGCTGGGGCACAGCGAAAACAGGGAGAGCATGGAATTTTAAATAAAGTGCAACGTATTAACGACCAAACAAATTTTATGCTAGCTGTAAATTTTCATGTTTACAAAATCATTGATGGACAATTTCTAGGATAAGACATATAGCGAACTTAATAATAAATAAGTAGATAATTATAATATAATATACAATAAATAAAGAAAACAAATAAATAAAGAAAACAAATAAATAAACAAAATAAAAATAAATAAATAAACAGCAAAGAGGAAAAAAGCAAAACCTTTATCTAATATTGAAAATTATTGAAGTAATCCGAGGCAATTCTTAACAAATCATTAAACTTACAATGAAATAAATCACACTGATCTGCTATTTGGTTATAATTATTAGCCATTAAATAAACAGGAGATTTTACAAGCACATTTGTTCTAGCATTTCGACAATAAAACAGTGAAACCTCACGAGGGCCAAGTCTCGGTACACGTATATTAAAAAGATAGATTAAAGCCTGAGAATCAACCATGCCATGAAACAATTTAAATAAAAAAGATAAACTTGCAACCACCCTTCTAGTATTCAGCGACTGCATACTGAATCCCGTCAGGATAAAAATTGTCAACACGAAAAGACAGGAATTTGAGAAAACGCCGCTGTATTCAATATTCAAGTTTCGAACATACCAGTGAATAGTATAAACTCTTCAATGCAAGTAAAAGATTTTGTACTTCTTATAACAAAGCCTAGCATACTATAAGCGGATTTAGTACTTGAATTAATATGATCAGCAAAAGACAATCTGCTGTCAAACATTACACCAAGATCCTTAATGTTCTGAAAACGAGATAAAGGTGACATACCTATATTATAATGAAATATGAGGGCATGATTTTTTAGAGTAAACGTACAGACTTTGCATTTTTTTGTGTTAACAGGTAAATAATTATCAGTACACCATAATATAAACATGATCCACAAGGTCTTGCAATAACAATCAGCCACAGATGATATATTCAAGAACAATTTCAAGTTGTCGGCAAACATAAGACGATTTGACTTTAATGTTAGAGATAAGTCATTTACAAATAATATAAAAAGGAGTTGCCCCAAATTAGAGCCTTGAGGTACTCCCGATGCCGCATTAAAAGTATTCGATTTGAAACCATTATAAGAGACATACATCTTTCGATGATATAGGTAAGAATTGAAAAGACAAATAAGACAAATTTATGAGATTTTATGTATTTACAGATAATAATATAAACAAGAAAACAATCATTAGAATCAACTTTCATAAAAAAAATATTTAAAAGTTTTTATTCATATTTTTCATATGAATTTATAGCATAAATATATTAAAATTGATTATTAAAAGATGAAATATTCATCTACCTCAATTATCACATTTCAATAATGTACACAGTTGTGCGTTAGCTAGAGAAATTTGTTCTTCAAGTAATAGCATACTGGCACCCAATAAAACAAAATAATGGTTACATAAAGAAATAACCCTAAATATTAGACAAATGGTTGGTAAGAATAAAATAAGTCATTGATTATTTTCTACCATTTTAGAAACAAAATAATCACTCTGTAATTTATTTAAATTATGCACTTTACACAGTGGCTGCTGGTATGGGGGGGGGCCTCTGGGACGCCGCCCCCCCTAGAAATTTTCATAGTAAAAAAATGTAATTTAAAAGTTTATTTTAATTGAACTCGACTTGCAAAATTCATTGAATTCGTCCTTGTGGCTCGCCTTTACATCCGTAAAGTGTTTACAGCGGTGGTTATGGTTACGCGCAGCAACGAAAGACGGAGTGGGAGTAGCGCATATTTAGTTTGGCCTCTGTTTAGTCCGTTCGTAACCAAATAATAGTTATTCATCGTTTTTTCCCTCGTTAAACGTAATTTGTTCAGATGTGATATAAAATTTTGTTACCTACGTAATATTTTTTGTGTGTATTTTGAAAGATTGTAACAATTTAAATTTTGTTGCAGACAGACTAACAGCACTTGCAATGCTATCTATTGAAAAATTAATGGTGCAAGAAATACCAAACTTTAATGAAAAAGTAATTGTATTTCGGACAAAAGCAGAAGCATGGACATTTACTATAAAAAATAAAGTTGAGCACATTTTCCTTACATAGTACTTAAAATAGAACTACTCAATTATATGTTTTTTTCGAATACTTTGTACCTAAATTTTTCCGCCCTGGTACGGGCGTCAAGACCCGCCACTGCCTTTATATTAGTGATTTGAAAAACATAAAACAATGAGAGCTTTTGGAATAATTTCACTATTCTTCTCTCATTTATTTTATCAGATAATACAGTTGCTGATACCTTCAAAATTAATTAAAACTAATTAATATCTCAACTAACTTTTCCTAAGAATTATAAATCTACATTGGCAAGTTTTCCCTGCTGTATATTATTAATATGAAAGAAATAAAGTTATATTAGGATTGAGCATGAAAGTAAAACTACATATTGGAAAAATACTGTTTAACATTTTCTAGGTTGACAGTTTCAAACTAAAAAAACTAAATTTTTCGGATAAACTGTAAAAACTAGCTTTTTATTTTAAATAAAAGGTACATGTGCAAATGACTGTAGATAGCCACTGAATCTTAAAAAAAAAGAGAAACGAGATAGATGAACAGCATTTTCCAATATTGATTTAGTTTCATAGACTTACTTCTAAGATTAAGAACTTCTGACCTAAATTTTCCTAAATATTCCTATCCATTAGAAATGTCACAGCCAAACTATCCTTATTACCTATCCTCAAAAAATACTTACAATTGTTTCCTTATCACCAGCATTTATAGGGATTACATATTATACAAAGTAGACTAGATATCCTATAGGCAAACTAGGTGTTGACCTATGTCGCCAAAATACGTAAAAGGCAATTTGTAGCTTATTTGTGTACTTTGACAGAATCTTGAAACGATGTAAAACAAAAAATTGCTAATAATCATATAGGCATACCATTGAAAATCTTTTCTTTTGCAGGAAGATGCAACATAATATCTATTCATTTACAGGCCAACACAGATAAGTTTTCGTTTCTGAGCCAGGCGGAGCTGCGCGAGATTGAGAGAAAAAGCAATAGAAGGAATAAGACATATGTGCAGCTATTTGATCTTAGACGTACGTAAACGTATTTCTGTTAGTTATGTCGGTTCTGTAGGTACTCTGTAAGTAGATATTAATCAATTAAATTTGAATAAAAGTAAGGTAACGTATGTATGCTTGAATCTTGGCTAGTTGAGTGAAATTCATATCTTCAATTCGTTTTGTATGAATGAAGTTAACAGAAAATTGTGTCATGGTAGTTTTCGGATTTAGCAAAATATCAAAAATGCTTTAATATGTACCTTGGACTGAACACATAAAATTTTATCAATTTTATTTACTTTGTTCTCTTGATAAATAAATAATTAGACAAAAATTTACTTCTACAAAAAGATTTTCATTGGCAACCTTTTCCTTTAAAGATTAAGACTTCATAGAAATAATACTCTGTACAAATTAGATGTTGTTACGTTTTCGCCAACTTTCTTCTTAGCGTGAAAAAAGTAATATACCTCAAGCCAACAAAGACCGAAAATAAATATACGAAATCAATCCAGAAGTTCTGTTTATTCATTCCAATATCTGTGAGTAGCGTTTCTGGAGAACTATAGTGGCAATATAGCGAATATTCGGGACATTCTAAATGGCTCCTGTTATAGCCATAAATGGCTTGCATATGTCCTAAAATACAAATAATAGTTATTTATTCTATAAGTGTTTTAAGTAATATTCTTAAATGGATAGAAGGCAATTAAAACACGAATACAATACAACGTTTTATCCATAATCACATCACAATCATATTTGTGGAGTCAGAATTATTGGAATTTAATAATAAAACGACTTGATATTTCTTACTAGTATTCAGTGAAACGTGATAGGTTTTTGTTATACCTACTGGTTCCTATGGTACGTTGTCTATTATCAATTATTTAATAAACAGTTCTATCCGAATTTGGTAAAAATGCAAGAAAGTAATTGTGTTCCTGTGGCTGTTCTTGAAGAAGCTCAAGAAGCAATTTTCCATTTATCGCCAGCGAAATCCAAGGAACATTACGAAAAAAAATTTAAGAAATGGAGAATGGAGAGAAAAACGGAGAGTAATGACAATAAATGAAGAAGTCATGCTATAGTATTTTTTAAATTTGAAGAAAAAATATGCAATTTCATCTATGTGGTCGAAGTATTCGATGTTGAAGGTCTACAAAAATATAGATATTAGAAAATGTAACAAGCTTACTGCTTATTTGAAGAGCGAATCGAGAGGATACAAAGCAAAAAAGTTGCAGTATTGGAAAGAGCACATATTGAAGAATTTTTGACTGGGGCTTCCGATAAAGGATATTTAATGATTAAGGTTGGAATCAACACATTGGCGAAGGTACCCTCATTAGTTACTTCATTCCTCAATATCGCAAATCCAGAAGCATATACATTAGTAACTTTTGCAAATTGTTCACAAACTTCGGCAGATGTTATGGATTCCGAAAATGATGGCAACAATGCTACAAGGGCTTTTATCAACGGAAAGGAAGTTAAATGTGATAAAACAAAAAACGAAAAGTCTATTATTATAAATGTAAATGTTTATGTTAGTAAGTAAATAAATTAAATTTGATTTATTATAGGTTTATTATCTTTTCATTTCTACTAGTGAAATAGAGTTACTTCATTCCACCACCAGTGGATAAAGTATCAATTTACTCGGTTCATATGTGTGGATAAAATTCCGATTATAAGGCGATTGTGGATAAAAATTATTTTATTATGCCTTTGTTTTCATATACAAATTTGACAATTTTGTACAGTTACAGTATGAACAATTGTTATCGAAACTAAATATTTACCTTCCACAGCGTAGCTCAAGAAAGAAAGGTATGTCAGTAAATACATCACTTTCGACATATGCGTGAACATAATTAAAACTCCAGAACAAGTAAGCATCATCGCTAAAATGATGGCTCCCCAAAATGTTCCGTTCTGCAACAAATGAAAGGAATCGCTTATGAGGTATGAGTATGGAATAATCAGACGTCCTAAATATTTCTTAAAAGCCACATCTATTGCTTACCACTGGGTTCACAATAGTGCCCAAAAGTAGGCCTAGACTGGACGATGACAATGCCACAAGTATTTGAATACTAAGGACCATTAGATATCTACTCCATTCTACTGGTTGAGAACTTATGAAATATGAGGTAGTAGTGAAACCTAAACCAAACACAACCTGAAAAATCAACACGTAACCATTATTAAAATTGTACTTTATTCTGAGGGTGTTGTTACTGTTGTTAGATATCGCGGGTAAAATCACTTTTTACATACTACTACAGATCCTCATAAATGATTACAAGCGACGTGACCAATAATTTTGCTGGGGACAGCGAGCAGCGCGGCTCGAGGGCCGAAGGCCCGAGAGAAAGGTTAAATCTGGTCAAATAGCCGCAAATGCGTAATGAATTTCACACTTCAACTAGTCTAGAATATATTTTTAAAAGACCATTGTCAGCTGGTCATCTTCAAGCTACCATTTCTTCGTAAGGAATCAGAAATGATTCACTGAAATTTTGATGTTAACTTTGGCCGAGGAACATCCTGTAGATGTATGGGGATGTATAAAAGACCACCCTGTATAATCGATGGTTTTATATAATGCTGGTTCTCATCGTTCTTATAGTGCTGTAATAGATGCACTAAAATTTAACCTTTATCAAAACATCAAGGTCATTAAATTGAACACGGCATCCTGTGCAAGTTGTTTACGTACTATTATATGAATGAATTAAATATAAAAAATGTGATTAGTTACCTGAGTGGGTATATCAGATATCAGAAAAGCAGCAAAGTAAGTCTTCAATTTATACCAGTTGTTAAACCTTTCCTTTCTTAATATGGCCAGTTCAGAGGGAACTAAAATTTTATACACATTTTCCTTCACACCACATAAAAGTATGAAATATTATATCAGGTAAAAATTCTACATACATTTTAAAACAGCTGGCATGAGAGAAGTGTAGCAGAGGTACACTACACAGCAAAGCATGAAACCTAAATTGCTGTGTACTTTATCAGCATCTTTACCGGAATTTTGGAACGTGATCCCTAAGAATATCCCGACTAGGATGTGCAATAATAGCTTCAGTTGTGAGATGGTCTAAAAATAATATTACGAATTTGAAGATGAACTTGAATGCTGAATTGCAAACACTAACCCAGTCTCGACAAAGTTGAACTCTACATCTACTAAGAAGTATCCAAAACCTAGTCAGTTCAGAAGGCGGTTCGTAGATGTTTTCGTTATTGTTCGCTACTGGATATATGGCGTTGATTTCTTCCTTCTCTCTATTTGCATCAACTGTAAAAACGTGAGCATAGAAAAAATATCAACCTGCATTTATCTGGATAACACAATATATAGCACCATAAAAAAAAAAGTGAGTTGAGCCGTGGAACACATCAGTGTATGCTATAGTGCTTTAACTTGTTGAATCCGAATCTATGGATTGTGCAAATTGGTTAAAAAAACAGATTGGGTATGGGGTTTTGTGGTTACAAGATTATAGGGTTATGGTGCAATGCGATCATGAATTCCAATGTTTTTCCAATCACAGACTATTCAAGTCAGGTTGAAATTTCAAACTGCTTTCTAGAAGAGTGTCTTGATGTTAGGGTCAAAACACGAACTGTAACGGCTTTTCTGCTAATTCTGGCTTTAGATTCGAATTCAGGGGATCAATGTATTGTAGGATATATTGGTCTGGCCCATGACCTAACCCACCTTTCGTAACCGTCCTCCTCCATTTTTGGTCTTTTGCTGCACTTGTTAATAACTCGGTGTGGTTTCCATAATCACCATTTACCACTTCCAACACTAAAAATAAATTCATTTGATGCAAATGAGCTGTAATTATAATAAATGAACACTAAAACTATGTAGATTTTTCATATAGGTAGCTTCTTAGAAACTAAATAGACAAATTTCTTGGGGACCTAGACATAGATTATCCTACAATATAGTTAAAAAGATGAAGTTATACAAAGAGGTCCCCACCCACACTTTTGTTTTATTTTTTCGTTCATGTTTAAACCTGACTTGAACACAAGCACTTCGAATACCGTAAGATTTTTCTAAAAAAATGTTCGTTTCGTTCGCGCGCCACATTCGCTTGGTTCGGAGTCAAATGCTCAAGTCAGTACCCACCTAAACAGCACTAGGTAGCTCTAATTCAAAAACATTCGTTGTAAATAATTTATACCCATAAAATAAACGTTGCAATGTTCATGTCAAATTGATTTATGTGTATAGTATTATAATAAAAATACTTGATTGATTTCCTACTTACGATAATCAGCAGGATTGTGGTATTTGGGACAATCGAATCCCAAGGAAGCCAAATAAGGAACAGTATTCTCAGTGGAACCCTGATAAACGCAGTGTCCTTGCGCCATGACATAAACATGGTCAAACATTTCAAAGATGCTAGCACTGGGTTGGTGAATTGTGCAAATGATAGTTCGTCCATCTCGAGTCAGGTTCTTCAACATCTGAACGCACTGCGTCGTCGAGGAACTATCTAAACCGCTAAACGAAAAAAAAATATATTATGTTATTGTGTACAGGGTGATTCAGAACTTTTCCACAAAAAAATTGGATGTCGAATCGATCGAAATCGATAGAGGATTCTTACAAATACAATTTTGTAAAGAAAAAATCAAAAAGTGCAGTTCGAAAATGATTTAAAAGTACACTTCTGCACGGCACTGGAAANTATTGTGTACAGGGTGATTCAGAACTTTTCCACAAAAAAATTGGATGTCGAATCGATCGAAATCGATAGAGGATTCTTACAAATACAATTTTGTAAAGAAAAAATCAAAAAGTGCAGTTCGAAAATGATTTAAAAGTACACTTCTGCACGGCACTGGAAACTGGTCCACTGTAAAACCGGACCTCGCACAATGCCACTGGCTTGGCGGCAAAGTGTGGTAAAAACGGACAAAAACTTTCACAAGGAAAGCAATAAATAGAATTTTATAGCTCCTATTTTATATCAGCAAATTCAACTACTTTTGCCGATATTGTCATTATTAATTAATAAAATTAATTTGTAGTTTTAAATAGAAAAATAATTTGACCTAATGTTACAACAACTCTTCAAAATTTTATCCACAGACGTGTAAACACATTTGTCCGTCTTACTCAGTTATTACGAACTAACACAAATGTTGTCTTGCTATACCATAACACAAATGCTTCACCATAATACAAAATGTTGTCTTGCTTTATCTTAAATTAAACGATATCCATCAACTCCGAGTTGCTATACACGCAAGCCATTTTTGAGACTAACTACTAAAAAACTATTGTAAACACCACAGATAACAGGTAAACACTAACGCAACGACGATTGTAAAATCGGATTTCAGTATTCGGAATCGCTAAGACCACGTGGCTCTCCATCCTTATTGCGAATGACACTAGAGACTACAATTGTCCAGCTATGTAATTATTGAATGTACTACAACTTGAATAATTTTTTTCTCGAAATCTATAAGGATTTTACAATTTTTTTTGGATAAGTTGTGAATCACCCTGTATAAGCTATTAGTCTGGTATTGCCTTTATATGTTGATAATTGTATTATTACTAAATTAATTCCGTACACAATTTTTTGCACTGCATTGTACTGAAGAAGGTTCACTAAAAACTTGGGGCAAACAAGAGGTACTAGTATGGATGCGTTTCGATGCATACATACATGCAAGATACATCTGTAGTTCTTAAAACTGAAGAAAAATGTTGTATTTGAGTATTTTTATTTTTAAAACTGTGACCTTTTATTAAGTTAAAAGTTTCAAATGTTTAAATAGATTTTAGAATAGTATAGTGACGAATGACATANGTCGAATCGATCGAAATCGATAGAGGATTCTTACAAATACAATTTTGTAAAGAAAAAATCAAAAAGTGCAGTTCGAAAATGATTTAAAAGTACACTTCTGCACGGCACTGGAAACTGGTCCACTGTAAAACCGGACCTCGCACAATGCCACTGGCTTGGCGGCAAAGTGTGGTAAAAACGGACAAAAACTTTCACAAGGAAAGCAATAAATAGAATTTTATAGCTCCTATTTTATATCAGCAAATTCAACTACTTTTGCCGATATTGTCATTATTAATTAATAAAATTAATTTGTAGTTTTAAATAGAAAAATAATTTGACCTAATGTTACAACAACTCTTCAAAATTTTATCCACAGACGTGTAAACACATTTGTCCGTCTTACTCAGTTATTACGAACTAACACAAATGTTGTCTTGCTATACCATAACACAAATGCTTCACCATAATACAAAATGTTGTCTTGCTTTATCTTAAATTAAACGATATCCATCAACTCCGAGTTGCTATACACGCAAGCCATTTTTGAGACTAACTACTAAAAAACTATTGTAAACACCACAGATAACAGGTAAACACTAACGCAACGACGATTGTAAAATCGGATTTCAGTATTCGGAATCGCTAAGACCACGTGGCTCTCCATCCTTATTGCGAATGACACTAGAGACTACAATTGTCCAGCTATGTAATTATTGAATGTACTACAACTTGAATAATTTTTTTCTCGAAATCTATAAGGATTTTACAATTTTTTTTGGATAAGTTGTGAATCACCCTGTATAAGCTATTAGTCTGGTATTGCCTTTATATGTTGATAATTGTATTATTACTATATTAATTCCTTACACAATTTTTTGCACTGCATTGTACTGAAGAAGGTTCACTAAAAACTTGGGGCAAACAAGAGGTACTAGTATGGATGCGTTTCGATGCATACATACATGCAAGATAAATCTGTAGTTCTTAAAACTGAAGAAAAATGTTGTATTTGAGTATTTTTATTTTTAAAACTGTGACCTTTTATTAAGTTAAAAGTTTCAAATGTTTAAATAGATTTTAGAATAGTATAGTGACGAATGACATAACATAAAGTGGAAAAGTAGTTATGGAAAGATACACGAAAATGCTTTACGCATCACGGCAATTTATATTAACGTCAGGCCCATATAATAGTCGTTTCCAAGAAAACATCAGTTATTTGATAGAGGACAAATCGATGCAGGTCGATTGTAGAATTGATCGATAAATGGCGCTATTAAAAAAATAACTGAATAATTATCCCAATGATTTCGTTTTGAAGTGGATCACATTTAGTTGTTAACTTTTGTTGATCAGTAAAAGTTGATCATCATCAACTTTTCGTCCACTCATGTCAATAAAAATTGATGTATTGTTTCAGTTTAAAAACGAAATAAGAATGGATAGTTGAAGCTATAGTTAATAGATGTTATCTATTGTAGTTTATTACTATTTAATTATTTACTTACGTTGTAGGTTCATCTAAGAACATAATGGGAGGGTTATCGATGAGTTCCAATGCAACAGACAATCTTTTCCGCTGACCCCCAGATAAATCCTGACATTTCGTATTTTTACAGATTTTTAGACCTATATGCCGCAGTATATCGTTTATCTGCAAAAAATTCCACTGTTTTTAAAAGTAAGAAAAATAAACCCGAATGAAATATGTATATTAGCTAAAATTTATAATTTTTCTTTAAAAATTGTCTTCAATAGAATACTTTCTGCAAGAATAAAATTGATACAGTTATTTGTCATACAGACATCATTTAATAAAGGAACTAAAATTTGATGAAGGTTAAAATTTTGTTTATTAGTAGCCGCAGTAATTAGTAATATATGTCGTCATATAAGTACTATCTTTTCACTTGTTTTTGCAATTTTTGTAAACACTATTAAAATTGAAAACAGAATATCTGGAAACCTTGGCATATATTAAAAAATATACATATAAGAGACCATCAATATTAAGTGCTTTAATATATCAGAATTTATTAAATCTTAAATTGGCAAAATAAAATAGATACGAGCTCTTACCAAAAACTCCTTACGTTTTTCAGTAATGTTACTCAACTTCAGACTTGCAGCTATATTCATTATTTCTAATACTGTGAACAGATTTGGCAGGTTATCTTCTTGCAAAATATAACAGGATTCTTTTTTATACTGCAAGGAACCATTTTTATTGCTTGTATTACACTTTATGGACCCAGTGATGTTTGACGTCCTGTAACAGATACTGATTGTTTTATCTTAATTTTATATAAAACGGTTATTTGTCTATTCCTCGGTCAAAGTAAAGAACACGAGGGAAAATATTTTTATTGTCATTCCACGGGGAAAAGTTATTCATGATAAAATATTTAAAACAATTATCACAGACTGTAGAATGTGTTCGGGAAATTAAAAAATCTGAACACGACATAAAAGTAAACTGTCCATGTTTTTTAATTACTTTATTAAGGAGAGTTGTTTAGGATAACAATTTCAATTTGTGAATAAGTCGGTCTACTTCAATTGTTCTAAAATAAAAAGAGAAAAAAAATTCAGAAAGAAGATAAAGTGTCGGACTTTGCTAGGTAATTTTAAACCGAATTTTATTCGAATATCGAAGTGTGTTTTCAGTTCGTTTTTTAAGTTTTACTCGTAAATCAGCCTTTTTCGAAAAACATAAAAAAGAGTAGTAATTTATAGAAAATTGAAAGATGAATCCGAAAATATCACGATTGTTACCGTAAAGCAGTGCCGTACTATTTTATTTAGAAAAATATGCTACCGATACCCTGTATCTCCGCCATTGGAGCATCTGAATTTTCGGAAACGGCCTCAGATTTTGGACATTGGATTTTTATGTTTACATAAAAATTTAAATTATTCAAAAAAATTAAAAATCTTGTTTTACACCCTGTATCTTTTTAACGAAACGTCCTAGATAAAACTTTACATGGAAGATTCCCTTTAAAATTCATCGAAGAATACGAAGTTTCATTTTTGGTCACCGTTTGTGAATCACCCTGTATACATATAATAGAGAATATTTAGCTACTAGGAAAATAAAAATCTGGGCATTATATTTGTTTATTTACCAAAATGGCTGTAGTAACGCAGTATTCTTGAGCCTATGAGACTCGGTAGTAGTTGGTTGACCTCTAAATACGCAAATTAATGGAAACGGGTTTTTGAATTATTTTAAATATCTATTCTTTGAAAAATTGTGACAATATAAAGTAAATATGCAACAATAACAAAATGATATGTAAAATAATGTATTTAATTTTTAATAATTTGGGAAATACCTAGTGCAGTCACGAATACGAATAGGAATAGATTGAAATTCGACGCAATAAACTCATCTTAAAGATAAAATTATCTTTTAAAAGGTTGAGAATTTTTTCCTATTTTCTGTCTTTATAAGGCCTTCCGAGTGCGTGGTTGAAATTAATGACATTATTACTGAATCATCCTGTATACATACATAGAAATGGGAATTACACTGATGGCTAAGTGGTATTTTTAAAATGATTTATGAAATAGCCTAATTAAAAGTCTACTAATTGACCTTTGTATACTTTCCTGTATACTACTTAGTTTAAATTATCTTAAAAAAATAATTAAATATAATTTATAACATACATTTTTAATAACAGCAAACAAGAAAAAAATTTATTACTGAAATTAAAAAATACTAACTGTTTCTATGACGTAATTAATTTTGAAGAATGAGAAAGCAACATACCTATTGTTAAGAAAAAAATCAAAATTTGTATTGTTTCTTTTTTTAGTTATTCACCATTATTTTAACTTTGTTTTTGTGCATAGTCCAGTCTAAGTAAAATGTAATAGTACTTGTAACACGTATTAATCGCATTGAATGAGAAAAATAGTACAATCAAATACTGCAATGCGCTGAAACTTCTAGCATTATTTGCATTATTTGTTATACAGGGATGGCCAGAAGTACGGAATAAAATTCATATCTTTTGAATGAGTTAATTTTTTTTAAAAACTCCGAAACACGTTAACTTTTTTTTCAAATATCCCCAAAGAAAATAATCCAGAGGTGATAAGTCGGGGGATTTTGGCGGCCATTCAACTGTACCCCGTCTACCAATCCAGCGATTTGGAAACATTTCATTTAAGTATCTTCGAACATCAATACCAAAATGTGGGGGAGCGCCACCAAATTCTTTCATTCGGTATATCTGGATCAATTTCATGAGGGAAAATCACAGCTAGAGCAGGTATCAGGTCAAATGTTAGGAAATCCAGGTAGCGTGCGGCAGTAAGATTTTCTTTAAAAAAGAATGGGCCCAAGATTCTGTTGTTGGTGATACCTGCCCATACATTAACTTTTTGTGGATGCTGCGTATGCGATTCGCATGTCCGGTGTGGATTTTCCTGGGACCAAAAGCGATAGTTGTGCCTGTTAACCACTCCATTTAAATAAAACGTAGCTTCATCCGAAAAATGTACGTCTCGTTGAAAACCATTATTGTCGTCACACCGTCTCATCATTTCCTCACAAAATTGTAATCGCCTATCATAATCGTCTTCCAAAAGCTCTTGGACAAGACGTACCTTATAGGGGTGGTATTTCTCTTGTTTCAGAAACATTCGAATTGCAGTTCGAGAAGCATCGTGATTGCGGGCCAATGAAACAGTTGAAGTATGAGGATTTTTAACAAGTTCTAATGCAATGTCTAATTTCTTTTTTTCATTCAAAGCACGCGCCCGTCCAGTTTTTGGCAAAGTCTGTACTGTACCGTGTTCCTCAAATTTGTGAAATATTTTACTAACTGTCCCTTGCGAGATTTGGTTTTCGGGATATTTCGCATTAAATAAATCGCGCATTTCAGCCTTACTTCTTATTTTGTCTCCACAACCAAGCAATATCAAGATTTCGATGCGTTGCCTTTCCGACAATACCATTGCAATTCAGTAAATAACTTGACTTTGACACAATAGTAACGTTTCGAACTCCAATTTACAACTAAAGCGAGAAATTAACCAGAAAGCCTGGTAAGTGCTAAAAAAACGCAACATAAAAAATATATGTTTTTTGCGTTAGCAGCGATAGGTATAGTTTCAAATTCATTATTTTATTCTGTGCAAATTCATGGAGGATAATACTGAAGATAATTAAATTTTATTAAAAACATTGCTATTGAAAAAATAAAACTTGTTTATTTGGTATGTCTGGATTCGGTATTCTATAAGCTTTTCAACGAGCCCCCTCATGCCTTATGTTTCCATTTGAAAAAAAAAGTAGGGGTAGCTGGGGTTAGGGGGTTGAAGAAAAATTAATTATTATATAATCGAAACATGGGAAAATATCAAAATCAGTTAACGTGTTTCGGCGTTTTAAAAAAAATTAACTCATTCAAAAGATATGAAATTTATTCCGTACTTCTGGCCATCCCTGTATAAAACCCTTGAATTGTTTTCGTGCGTATAAATAATAAGCATCACATGAGTACTCATTAAGTAAATTAAAGGATATTTACTGTATAGTTACTAATTACACCACAATTTGTTTACTATGTAATTTGCAACATCATCTGTCACTGATTTGATGATTATGTTTATTGTTTACGATTTTGAAACTTCCACAACAAGATACATGATTGGAAGATTAAGTTTCTTACATATAGGAAACATGAATTTAATTTATAGGGACAAGAATTTTTGGAAACAAAGAAAACTGTTCTTAATGAAAATATTTAATTCATCTCTTTCTCTCTTTTTTTTCTCCATCGATTTTGCACTCAAATATAGGTACTCCTTAAATAAATTATTCACGTAAACTCGTATTTGGTGCCCTTGTACCTAAATCAGAGCAAATGTCCTCGTGAGTTCAAATGTATATTAATTTCGAGTAATTTGAATGGCGCCGTAAAGATGGCACCACTTACATATTGGTTCTGTAATCTCGACCACAGTAGATAGGGGCCCCATTAGATGCTTCAGAAAACCGTGATCGCCAGGGGAACAGGCCTTAGCCGGCGGCGGCAGGTCTCAGCTGGCGGGTCTCAGCAAAAACAGAAGATTGTTCATTAACCATTACTTTATGGTTTATGTCTGTTAGGGTTACTTTCATCAATCTCTATAAAGTTTTCATTCATTTATACTTTTAATATATTTATCTCCCTTCCAATCATGTAGACTTGTTTGAAATCAATAAAAATTATGAAAATATTTAGCTTGTATTTGTTTTTAAATTAGCAGTTGTATTTTGTCTAAGAAAATTGGTCGAGGTAAAAAGATTGTCGAAAACCACACGAAACAAAATACCGCCATGTAAATCGAAATGAGGACATTTGACAGTCGAATTTGTCTTGAACGTCAGGCTCGAGAATGTGTTACTAGATTTTTTTTATATCTTTAGTAGTTTCTAAGATAATCTAAGATTCCATTGAATTTTACTCACTCTGTATATTTTATATTTACATTTCATGATTTTTCTAGACAAAAGGAAAGGCAGTATATGTCTAATGTTTGTCCCTGTGATAATAATTTACAATTTTAAAGAGCGACATTTTCTCGGACAAAACATAAATGACTTACAATTTTACCGCTTCCCGGAATGCCGCTTCAACAATATATTATTTTACATTTATACTCTAGAGTTAACCTTGATTTAGTTGTTGTCAGAGGCAACATATATTTTTTGAGTAATTGGTGACCTAAGATTAGCGGATGTTGAAAATATTATTTTGATTTACATAAACAAACAATAGTTTATTTGTTCATATATGACAAGTTGATGGGAAATGAAATATAAAGACCTGGAACAAGTGAAAACTAATTGTGATGGGGTATTTTAGAGTCCATTTTAATTTAGTATAGACATTTACTTTCCATTCCTATTATACTCTGTTTGGAAATGAAAGAGAGTAATAAAACCCCGAGATAAGAACCGGCTATGGGCGTGCTAATATTTCGTTTCAGGTAATTATCGGGTAACACTAATGCTAACAGGTAATGGGTGTACATTAGTATATTTTACTGGATACATCATAGGGCAGGAGCCAGTGTATTGTGACAGATCAATCCAGTCTTAGAGCTGAATATACGAAGACGTGCTAGTGCAGTAGAGTAAAATTCGACTTGTGTTTAGTGACTATTGTGCCAGTGGATATAATATTGTTTGGGTAAAATGTCGAGCTTATCAGATTACGTACCTGCTAAACGCGTGAAAAGATGTGCGCTGTCTCAGAATGAGAAGATTATTATATTAAATGTATTTAATGCATTGAAACACCAAAATCCTACCAACAGTGTTGACGACATCGTGGAAAAGTGTTCCAAAATGACAGGGATTGGAAAATCGACTATCTACAGACTTTTAAAGGAAACAAAAAATGAACAAGATACTGTAAATCCCCCAAAATCATCTACAGGGAGGTCAAAAGTCGTTATAGATGATTTCTTCAAAAATGTCATTCGCAGAAAAGTACACTCATTTTATTTTAAAAAAGAAATACCAACGCTAAACAAAATTTTAAGTGAACTTTCAGAGGACAACGATTTGCCAAAAATCAGTAGAAGCAAATTATGGGCCGTCTTACGAGAGTTGAATTTTTGCTGGGAAAAGCAGAACAGGAAGTCAGTTCTTATCGATAAAGATGAAATTATTTGTTGGCGAAGATCCTACTTAAGATCAATTAGAAAATTCCGTGACGAAGGGAGGAATATTTATTATCTAGACGAAACTTGGGTCAACGAGGGATATACTGTAACAAAAGTATGGCAAGATAAAAATGTAAAAAGTTTTCGACAAGCATTTTTGGATGGACTTTCAACAGGGTTCAAGGCACCTTCAGGTAAAGGGCGAAGATTAATAGTGACACATATAGGTAGTGCCAGTGGTTTTGTAGATGGCGGTTTACTTTTATTTGAATCTAAAAATACAGGTGACTATCACGAAGACATGAACGCAGATGTTTTCGAAGAGTATTTTACACAGATGTTGGATCTTATTCCTCCGGGGTCTGTAATTGTCATGGATAATGCCAGTTACCATTCACGGCAGACCGAGCGGACGCCTACGACTGCTTGGAGGAAAGCCGATATAATTCAATGGTTATCCGGAAAAAACATTTCTTTTGAAACAAATATGGTGAAAAAGGAACTTTTGACACTTGTCAATCTTAATAAAGATCAGAAAAAATATGTTATCGATGAAATGGCAACAAATCGCCAAATAACGGTACTACGGTTACCACCTTATCACTGTGAACTTAACCCAATCGAATTAGTCTGGGCGCAGGTAAAAGGAGATGTAGCGCGAAATAATACGACGTTTAAATTAAGTGACGTGAAAATTTTGTTAAAAAATTCCTTGGAACGAGTAACTGCAGATAACTGGCAAAGATGTATACATCATGTACAAAAAGAAGAGGAGAAAATGTGGGAACTCGATAATTTAATTGACGTTACTGTGGAACCTATCGTTATCAATCTAGGAGACGAAGATAATTCATCAGAATATTCAGAGGATGAATTTTAATATACCTACTTTTTTATTTTCTTTATTGTACATTTATACAACACTACATTTACTCACCATAATTTGAATTTTCAAAATACATATATTTTTGTGTGGAATAAAAGTCTATTCATTAAATTTAAATAAATATTTTGATAATAATATTGAATAATTTTATTTGAATTACTAAAAACCCTCTTAACCCGGTTATGATGCTTAAAGTAGCCTCATGTTTTGAAATGCTGTTTTTATATTGTTTACTTATAAGAGAAATGGACCGAGAAATTGAAGCGGCATAGATAAAGACGGATTGACGGGGATTAAATTTTAGCTACCTGCTACAATATAGTACAGTCCGATCGCACAAAGTTTTGTTAAAAGTAGACCTCATCTATACGGAAAATACATAATATAAAAATATTGAATATAAGCACCAGTACTACATTTACGATTTGCATACATAATGAGCTTTTATTACTCTCTTTCATTTCTAAACAGACTATAGTTTCGGCTATTATACCATCATCAGGGAAAAAGAAAAATGGCAATCATTGGAAAATAATTGGCTTCATAAATCGTCCGTTATAAATGACATTACAGTTTTTGGAAAAAAAATGAGAATATCAGTAGTTTTTCTTTCAAGTCATCGTGACAAATTGGAAGAGAAGGTCGGAAAGCAAAAAACAATTGCAGTGGAGGTTAAACAGCCAATTATTATGTACGTCTAACAAATTTTTAATTCACGAAATTGTCACAATTTGCTGTATTTATTTAACCCTTTTATAACTTGTAACGGTATTGTACAGTTCGTAATAGACTTTGTACATTACAAACTGAAACAATTCAGAAGTCTGAAAAGATTGGCAAATAAATTAGAACTTAGTTCTATCGCCACCATTTCTTGGCCAATGTATTTCTTTTTCTTTCCTTCTTGTAAGCATTTATTGATTTCGAATGAATTTTTAAATGAAATATACATATGTAGCCTGATCAAACATCTACAGGCAGAATATTCATTTTATTTTACAGTATGTGGGTAGGTAAAAAAAAGACTTACTGTAGGCCTGTCAAAATATTCAATAAAGTAGTCTTCCCTGCTCCTGAAGGACCCATTATGGCAGTCATTTCTCCAGATACAAACTTCCCTGATACTCCTTTTATGATTGGCTTCTTTTCTGAAACAAAATAATAACGAGTTATTACAATTGTCTTCGTTAAGCTAATGTAGAGACCCAATTAAGAATTATCAATAAAATATTAAAGTGCGGAGTAACTTCATAGTTTCAGAGTTATTTGGAAACGCCATCTAGCAGCTAAAAAAGCTAATTAAAAATGTGTTTAAAACTGAGGGGTATAGATGCAAAACTCACATTATCCACTTTTTAAAATTTTTCAGGGAGAAGGAATAACTGATTTCTCACTTTTTAAGTGACTTAAGGATCTGAATTCTTTTTTGGTATTATTAGATTTTGGATAAAAGTTATATGCTAATCCTAGTAAAAAAAATTAACTTAAGAGAGAACTTTAACAGGCTTGTAAATTTGAGGAAGTTGTAGTTTCCAGATATTTTTTTACATGTCCAGTAAATAACTTACTGTTGTAAACTTATTAAGTCGGGACATCCTATATGTTAAATTCAATACCTTTATTTCAAATAATTGAATGAATGTTACACTTAATTTGAATTTCATATCTGTAAAGTCATCCTTTGTTCCTTTGTTTATTCGCATGTTTTTAATGAATAATAAAGTGACAAAAACAATTTGAATACATTTCCAGTCAACTTTTTGGTTTAATTAAAAACAAAACTCAAACGTTTCATCGATTAATGAACTAATTTTTAATCATATTAGTTTTTCTCAGAATTTCTACGTCACTAAGTTTCATGAAAATTCAGTCGACGAACCATTTTTTTGAGTTATTATTTTTTTATTTTCCAAAGCTTCCAAAAAAGTCCAAGGTGTAAGAATTTTGTCACAGCTTGACATTTTGTAAGTTATCTACAAAGATATTAAAAAATAATGTAGCTATTTTTTTTTAAATTTAACACCCTATATCTCGGAAACAAGGTGTTGTAGACGCCCTGGTTCATTGAGAACAATCCAAGGAGCATGCCTACGAAGTCATGGACTTAAAAATACCCTGATGACCTTGCAAAACATTAGAGAGTAAATTTGATTTCAAAAGCTAAATCAGACTGAATATGGCCCACGAAATAACGCAGTAGCCTTGCTGCTACTTATTTGTTTTATCGTCATGTTAAAATATATGTGTAATTCATAAATTTCCATAATGGAATTATCATTCACACTGTAATATACAAATGAATTTGATAGCGACAACTCTCGACCTTGTACCATCAAACAAACGCGATTCTTGAAAAACTTTTAGATTTTCAGATTTTTTAATTTATTATAAATATTATCGTTTTCCGGCAGATTTTCAGATACATCATAAACTTCATTGAATCTCTATTATTTTTCTCATCGTAAAGAATATAAACCAGTACAGTAATAAAAATGATTGGCGTATATTCCTACGGATCTCAGTAACTTCACACAAACACTTAAAAAAAGTAGGAATGCTTCCTATTCTATGATCTGGGCGACCAATTCTGATCACTAAAACTGGAAATTACACGACCAGGTAATGACTCATGCAGTAATTGAATTGTCTCGGAATGCATGGTATGTGGCACCGTCTTGTTGAAATCAAATGTGGTCTATATCCATATCTTTGAATTTAGGCGCACAAAAACTGGATTATCATATCGCGATAGCGAGCACCATTAACTGTTACAGTCTGACCAGCCGCATTTTCCAAGAAGAATGGTCCGATAATGCCTCCAGCCCAAAATCTGGATCAAATAGTTGTGGATGCATTTGTTTCTCAACAGTTTTGGATTTTCTGAACCCCATACGCGACAATTTTGTTGATTAACGAAGCCATCACGATTTGAACGCGTGGGAAACAATTTTGGGAATCCATGTCATTGGACCATTCTTTTTTGACACACTGAGAAGATTTGTTAGGCGACATTCCTTTAGTTACACTTAGAAGAATGTGGATGCAACATGATGGTGCTTCACTTTTTACACGCAGATGGATTGGGCGCGGAGGATCAGTGAGTCCAGATATGACAAGTTGCGACTTCTTTTTATGGGAATTAAAAAAATCAAAGTTTACGTTACACCATCAACTACCACGGAAGATATGTGGCAGCGCATTACAGTAGCATTTCAAGAAATTACGCCTGACATGTTGACCAGTTTTTTAAAAACCGAATTGGTTTGTGTATTAATCAAAATGGAGGACACTTCGAGCAATTGATGTAAATCAGCGGTCTAAGTATTCTTCTCCTTGTTGTGTTCCGAGTTTCAGTTTGTATCATTTNCTGCTACTTATATGTTTTATCGTCATGTTAAAATATATGTGTAATTCATAAATTTCCATAATGGAATTATCATTCACACTGTAATATACAAATGAATTTGATAGCGACAACTCTCGACCTTGTACCATCAAACAAACGTGATTCTTGAAAAACTTTTAGATTTCCAGATTTTTTAATTTAATATAAATATTATCGTTTCCGGCAGATTTTCAGATACATCATAAACTTCATTGAATCTCTATTATTTTTCTCATCGTAAAGAATATAAACCAGTTGACCAGACATGTTGACCAGTTTTTTAAAAACCGAATTGGTTTGTGTATTCATCAAAATGGAGGACACTTCGAGCAATTGATGTAAATCAGCGGTCTAAGTATTCTTCTCCTTGTTGTGTTCTGAGTTTCAGTTAAACATGCCAGTAAATATTGACACTGTCAGTCCCAGGCCTGATAAAATGTGAGAGAAAAGAGGTTTTGAAAGGCCTTCTTGACGCTGTTACATAACTACTTTTTCGGACTTTAGAAAAGAACCTGATTTTTCTGGAAAACTGTTAAAGATAAGTATGGACAACCTTATATCAGTCGAAAGGGCATTCAATTTTGCATTTACCAGTGACAATTAATATGGGTTATTCCATTTGAAAAAAAAAAAAGTTTTTCAACTCGTAAGATTAATAAATTATTAAGATGTCTTTTAAGGTTTAGTTTATAGTGACGTAAAAAATATTTGGAGTTTCAGCACAACCTTCCGCTTGTAAAAATTCTGTGTACGCCACTGTCAGCAAACATATTATTTTCCAAACGTATTATCAGATATCAATAAAATATTTTTATCAATATATATACAATACATTCAGGTACCTCTTTTTTTATAGATTACGTATCTATTTTTAGATAATCCAAATGAACTTGAATTACAAATGCACTATATTTCAAATTCGAACACATTTACCCATTGAAATTAAATTGGGTATTTTAAATAGTGCATTTTTAGTAATTTTTTCGTAACTGACAATGCACTACAAGATAGTGAAAAAACTAACATTACCGGCATATTTACCATCATCAGTCTCTGGAATTACGTCTTTTTTCGAAATACCCTATATATTTTTCTGTACCTTCTCAATTATAAAAAATATATATTCATGAAAAACTTCGAAAACTGTAGTAGTTTGTTTTAAAAACCTATATTTTAAATAAATTTTCCAAACTTTGAACACGATTGTTTTGTATTTGTAACAAAATATATAATTAATTTCATTAAACTAATTAAAACAAAAAAGCTTATGAAATAGTTAAATGACAAATTTACATAATTATCCACTTATATATTTTTTGTGCGTGACATATAGTTTTGAAGGATTGGTACATTATATTTTGTACGTAAAAACCATCATTTTATCGATTCACATATATCTACAATTCATAAATTTCGCATAAAAGTTATTTATGGTAATGTGATTGTTATTATTTAATTAACAGTCTTTTTGAAAGGTATCCGTGTTTGACTAAAAATACGAAATTAATATAGACACATGATAAAAACATTTTAAAATTACCCCATTTTAAGTTCAAAGTGATATATGAACGTTTTGCTGATGAATTTATAGGTAGTTCAAATACTGATTATTTATTTACTTTACCTCTTTTGATAAATTATATGTTTGTAGGCATTTTTTTGTAATTCAACTGTCTTATAATCAAAATATATTTCAAGATGATTTGGTTGCACTGTATTTATTTAATCAGGTTGAAAAAAAACATAGGAGTAGGGCAACACTAGGAATAGTGCAGAAAACAAAATTACAATTTAAATTGCATGCAAACACAAGCATAACAAAACCACAGAATATTGTTTACGCTTGGGATATATGTAAAAATTCCCGATAATGAATTTCTATAATTTATTAGGATTAGAGGAACAAAGAAAAACAAGGTTAAAGCGACAGTCACAAGTTTTGTTAAAAAAATCTATTCCTTTGCTTTACCTATAGGCTACTTTTGGATTCAACTTTTAACAAACCAAAGATATACCCATTGGCAAATTGTTGATCTTGAAATTTTACGACTTACTGACCCTGAATCTGGTGTTAACTTTTCTCAGGTTGAATCTCAATAAACGTTGTTAATAAGTTATATAACAAACAATAGCAGTGTTTGTATATAAACACGATTGCTACATAAAAAAACCCGCTATTTTAATTGAAATCGTTTCATTAATATTTTCTTCGAAGTTCATGTAGATTTCCAGTTTTTAAGTGGTTATTGGATAATTTGCTACGCTGTAAATTAAAACATTTAAAAATAATAATTTCAGTAGTCCAAAATAGGTTTGTTGAAACATTCCTTAAATGTTTCCTGTGAGGTCAGGAGATATTGTTTAAGAAATACAAAATATTTCCCTTCATTATTTTTAAATTAATTTCGTTAAAAAAATTCCGATACGGAGATTTTAAATTGTATTGGACTCTTTGCTAGGACAGTTTAAAAAAAAATTTAAAAGTTACCATCCCTAGAAAACAAATCAACAACACTTTATAGTTATAAATCTTTTACGTAATAAAAATTAATGCTTGTTTTTAAATAAATTCCGCTTCCTTTAATTGTCCTCCAACTCAAATTGTTTACCATCATCGGGTTATCTGCAGTGTCAAATGTATTTTAGAAAAAAGTAGAGTAGTTCAATGAAACCCCTTACGCATACCCGTTTAAAAATTAGCTAAGAATGGGAATGTGCCTCAATTATATTAATAAAAAAGGTATTTAATATTACATACTAAAGGTAAAAATGTGATAGTAAGTGGATTATTCCAAGTTGTCATTTTTTAAATAATAAATATATTATACAGTGTCTCAATCAAAAATATCCCCGATACTTTCTGGACGGTATCGTTTGTATTTGATTATTTGATTATTACATACTGTTGGTGAATAAAGGCAATTTTATATACAGGGTCGGAAAGTCCCCATGGTTCATCGGCCGTTACGTGAGAGCGATAAAGTAAGTCATAGAAATCCGTGCGATAGAGAAAGATGGTTATAATGAAGGCGTCTAATAGTCACCGCCCAATTCGCCCTTCCACAAATAAGAAGTGGATCTTATTTCTTCTAATTTTAAATCAATAATTTTTATGTTTCTACATAAAAATGTTTTTAAAATACAGGGTGTTCTACAAGCTGTATGACAAATTTGTACAGATGGTAGCTAGATTAATTTCAAACATTTTTTCTTATATGAACATAGGTACGATTCGCTTTTGTTTAGAAGTTACAAGCATTTTAAAAAATATAATTCCATCTTTCAATCAAAGTAACCTGATAAATTAAAATGATGCGATGGTTGCTATAACAATAGATTATTATTTGTGTTTAAATTTTAAACATTAATTAAGCTTAATTAATCAAATTAACAAATCTTAATACTATAAAAATTGTCCGATACGTTCATCATTGGTTCGAATGCAAGCCTCCCATCAGCCAACTAAAGATGAGATTTCATTTGGTTAGCTGCATCCTAAATTTTTTCAAGTAACTGCTGAAGGGTGGTAATTTCAGCATGGTAGAGGAGCTGCTTCATGTGTCTCCATAAATAAAAGTCTAAAGGATTTAGGTCTAGGGAACGCGCTGGCCATGCTAGTGGACCTTGTTGACCTATCCATTTGTTTAGGAAATTATCATTTAACCAATCAGTTGTCTCCCTCTATGTGGTGGTGGTGGTGCATCATCGTGCTGATACCACATATTTTGAACAATATTAAGCCTTACGTCATAAATAAAACCAAAAGGTTGTACTCTATAACCGTCTAGTCTTCAAAAAATCGCTGAAGATTTTCAGAAAAAAGGCGAATTTTGAAAAGTGACGAGATCTTGACATGCGGCATATGGTTTCCCGTATATTTTTGTCTCCTGAACACGAATCCACAGTCTGTTTTGCTCCATCACCCTTCAGTTTTCCGTAAGTCGCTGAATACCTTCAGAAAATCGCTAAAAATCTTCAGTAAAAGTAAAATAATTTACCTCCTGGATCCGAATTCGTTGTCAGAATTACTCCATAACCCTCTAGTCTTCAAAAAATCGTTGAAGATCTTCAGAAAAAGAGCGAAATTTAAGAAGTACCGAGATCTTGACGTACGGCATATGTTTTCGGACATATCTTTATCTTCTGTAATGAGATCTTCAGGTATGACTCATGGTTTTCGATGACCATGAGTCAAAGTCAAAGTTTGTCATAGAGGTTGTAGAATACCCTGTATAAACATTTACTGTTATTTATTAAATTTACTAATTCCATAATCATTTGAATATATTAAAATAATTTCACTTTTATATCTTACATGGAATTCTTAATTTTTAGATAACGGAATCTAATCCAGTCTTCAACAACAATTTAATAAATTTTCCAAAAAGACAGGATTAGAGGCATGCTTGGGTACCAAGGCTGTTCATCACTAATTAATATGCTTTTAAAATATTAGTAGTGATAAAACAAATTAATAGTTCTAATTTATGTGAATAACCTTTTCTGAGTCACAATTATATCTCTATTTACAATACGAATAAACTTTTAGACGATATATTAAATTTCTAGACGTACCGACAGTCAAAACAATATATTTTCTCTCTTTTTTAAACGATAGAATTATACCTTAACAACTATTCTAATGGATATGTCTAACAAATCTATTATATTTTCGGTATTAACATAAAATTCTTGTTTTGCCAAGAGTCTTTCTTGTATTATTTATTGTACATGAAATTAACTGTATAATTGAAGACTGATGCAAAAACTGGTCAACTTATGTACAAACAATTAGTAACGGTAAAAATGTCAGTCATTCGAGTTAAGTACGCCAATGGTATAAATTTAGTATTTCTTGCATTATTGGATTGGGAGAAGAGGCAGCATTGAGTGACCTCCACGATCACCGGATTTATCGCCCTTTGATTTCTTTTTGTGGGGATACCTACCTAAAAAGTAAAATCTATAAAACACAGCCAGTGTCGCTGGAAGATTTGCGTCAAAGAATCGTCGACGAATGCCGTTGAATCACTCCGGAAATGCTTCGAAATGTGCGCGAACGTTTCGAATAAAATCTTTATTCTTGTATGGAAGCGGGCGGTCATCAGTTTGAACATTTAATCAACTAAGTTAAGTAGTAAGTAAGCAACTAAACATAATTTAAATTTTAAAATGTAATTTTTTTCCAAAGTATCGGGCGGAATTATAAAATTTAAAGTCTGTTGTAAAGAGAATTGTAAGAGCTTTCAAAAGAAATATTACTCAACCCTCAATGCCATTTAAATATTTTGGGGGTGAAAGTGGCGGAGTCAAATATACCAGCAAAGACCCTTTAATCTAAAATTGACGGGTCTGAGCGTTTTTCTACAATCTTGACGCAGTTCCTGAAAATGGCTCTGTTTCGTTTTCATTTGGACACCCTGTATTTATCTTGCGCACGAATTTGGACATTCCATTGTCATAAGCGCTTATTTTTGTCTTTTAAATTTCAACTAAAAAAAAATATAAACTTTATTCCATCCTTTTGGCACACAGTGTATACACTAAAAATTACTAATAGACGAGTACCGAAAATGAAATTCAAACAAAAAAAACTTTTTTTTATTTCAGTTAATGATAACCGATATGAACTATATTACGTAATGGCCATAGATAGCAATTGCAGTTTTCCTTATCAGTATGTAAATAAAACTAATTAGCTTGTAAGTAAATTTCGCAAATTTTAATTTATTCACTTTTCTATATAATTCTAATTTCGTTTCTAGTAAATGATTCCGTCGACAGAATAAAAGCGCATTAATTTTTTTTTCACTGAATTTCATAGCTAAATATGCTATGCTAATATTTATTATTGCATTAAGTAATTTGGTTAGCATTACAAGTAGAATCAATTTATCATTCCAATTTAAAATTTGTTTAAATACGACAAAAATGAATAAAATTGCATGAAGCTTATTTGTAAACAATTTTGAGTTTGAATATATCAGTCGCTGATTATTATTTGCATCACTGTTAATAATATTTGATCTATTTCTCCGAGAAAAACAGTGTTTTTTTGTTAGTATTAAAGAACTTTTATACTATAATTTTTTGTAAACAAGCAAATGTTGGGAAGGAATAAAATATACATTATTTGGTGATACGATAACAAAAATGTGAGACATACGAGTGGTACGAGAAAGTATGCTTTAAAAAGGTTATTATTATTTAAGAACTTCTGAATTTCTGATGATTTGCGTGAATATATTTATTTTTTATTTACATTGTGTAGCACGTAGAAATATACAAACTTTAATGTGACTGTCCTCAGATGAAAATATACAAAAAGTTACTTATAGCTGTTTTACATTGACAATTTATTGATGAATAAATTGACGAAGTTCTTCATGAATTAATTGATCAATAAATTGTCAATGTAAAACAGCTATTACTTAGATACTTAAAATTTTTTGAAAACGATCAAACAATTTCGTTTTTTTAAATTTTCACCTGTGAATATAATATTTAATAAAAAAATTCTTAGATTTTGGAGTAAATTTAACAAAATTAAGGGAATTTTCTATTTGTTTTACAATACAAACTAGTTTTCTCATCGAATTTTAATTAATAGATTAACATAGAAAATTCTTATAAATTAAAAAAAAAAAATAGCAAAATTGTTTAAAGTTTCGAAATGTCAACCAGTAGATTGCAAGCGTAACCGTGCTCTTTTCCTTAGATAAACTAAATTTTACTTATACTTATGGGAATCCAAGAGATATTTAAAAATATACTTCATTCAAAAACGTTACATAGTAGACAAAACTTTAAAAAATTTAAAAAAAAATAATCTAAACTACTTGATAGGTAGAATAGAATAGAATATTATGACTACTTCAATAATTGTTCCTATTCGTTTTAACTCCTCGAAATAGATGTAACTAAAAAATTTGAAAGAGCTTACCTTTTTTATGGTTTACCGTGTAGGTAATATCCTCAAACCATATATCAATGTATCTGTTGTTCAGGAAGAGGCTGAAATTATTTGACTCCGGTTCCATAACTAAATTGAACACAAACAATAATTTTACTTAATAACTTAACACAAAAAGGGAAGAATCGGTTGTCAGGACGTTACCACCGAGCTGGTTTGGAGCGATAATAGCACTGCCGCTCGGTGAGCGTCGAGGCAACAATTTTGAAGTCCGCCAATTGGAGATGCCTCGTGGTTCAATTTATATTAGAAGTGGATTTGCCAGGCTATGTTAAGTGGGCTTATTAAACGTGATGTGCTTATCTATGTATCGTAAGCCACGCGCATAGTTTGCTTATCTTTACATTTACATCTTGTAGTTTCGAATCGATCTGTTCAAATTTTTGGGAGGATACAATAAATTGTAAGACATTGTCGGATTTTTTGTTTCTTTCCGAAGCAAAAAATTGGAAAAACAAAAAATTGGAAGATACCTACTCAAAACAAAGACAGCCTTCCAGATATATTTTGCTCCAATAAGGAGTATCTTTTAATTCAATTCAATTCAATTCAATTCACTCGTACCATTGTGAATAGGCGAAGCCCGTTGCTTTTTTACTAAGTGGGCAAGAAAGAAAAAAAACGCCGCAGGGGAAAATATTTAAATTTTCAAGGTCAAACGACTAAATGCATCTGGAAATTTTTAGTTACATTTACAATATTATAGTACTGATGTTGACGAGTAGGATTTTCATTCAAATTTTATAAAATTAATACGCAACTATTTGGATATTTTATTAATCCGCTCTGAAATAACAAATAGGAATAAATTTCCACGTCATTATTTATTATGGAGATCTTCGCCAATACCGTAATCGTAAATTAAAAAATTATCAGAAATATCAGAACTTTATAAATTGTATTTACAATAAAATTAAGTAAGAGCAAAAAAAACAATGTGATATATTTACCTGATCATTATTAACAAAATGTTTCCTACTTGGTTTAAGAATATTAAAAAATATGAACAAATATAAAAACAATTTTTCATAAGGTAGCCAGCCCACTTATCTATTTACGTATAAAATAACGCCGCCGGCTTTTCGTTTGCCTCCACTTTTATCAAAATATTTTAAAAACATAGGAATGTTTTTATAAAACAGGTTTATTCGTCCGTCTTTTAAATTTGCAAAGAACCCCGCAAAACCCCTTCCAACCCCCCAAAACCTCCCCCAAAAATCAGGGTAATGAACTTGACAGATTACAGGTCAACTGGCTTACCGTAATATTTCACTACTGTAGTAGAACCTACAGACACCTATACCATAACTAAGCTTAAGGCTATCAATGGGCACCGAGCCCTATAATTGTTTAATACCCTTTAACCCACAAAAAGTATCAAAACCTCCTATAAGATTTTTTGCTGTTTGTGGGATGTGAAATTCTGACTGTAGGTTCGACTGTAGTAGTAAAATATTGCGGTAGTTTTATTGACCGGTAATCTGTCAAGTGCATCCCCCTGACCTTTGGGGGTGGTTTTGGGGGGTTGGTGGGAGTTGTAGGGCTCGGTGCCCATTAATAGACTTAAGCCTAGTTATGGTATAGGTGCCTGTAGGTTCGACTATAATAGTGAAATGTTACGGTAAGCCAATTGACCTGTAATCTGTCAAGTTCATTACCCTGATCTTTGGGGTTGGTTTTGGGGGGTTGGAAGGGGTTGTAGGGCTTCGTGCCCATTGAGACTTTTGATCAGCATGACGAGGACTATCAAAATACGAAGTTTCATAAAAATTGACCGGTGTTCAATTTCCATATGTTTTATGCGGCGTTCGTTATGCAAATGTCTTCAAAAAATTTAGGATCGGCACTAAGACTTTGCAATAGTACTCTTTCTATCGTCATCACTGATAAGTTGTTTAAGCGCTCTTGTGTCATCGTATTTCTAAGTCTTAATGCGCTTAAGACAAAAAGTTTCTTTCTACCGAGACACGTGTTGCAGGTATTGTTAAAACTGGACAAGACAATTTGTATATTTCCAAAAATACCTTTTAAAATTCCTTGTATACAATGAGCCGCCACTGTGTTAATCTGAGTTTTAAACCAAATTTCAATAAAACCAAACTGAAAAATTAAACATTATTTTGAAAATATTCAGTAAGTCATAACTGATATTTTTTAAACTCCTGATTCCAGAAAAATATGTCCTTGTTCATCCTGAACATGCTCAATATCTCTTCTTTTAAATGTGAAGATGATCTCATGATTTTTTTAATAAAATACCTAACTTTTAATGGTAATTTTTTTAAACATAATAATATTTGCATCGTCAAGTCAAGTAGAAGCCTTTATATTCTGAATTGAAACAAAAAGTCAATTTCTCCAAATTTTTTCTGCTAATTCTTCTTCATCCAATATTTTAGAAAATTTTCTCTTTTCGACCCTTCGAAACGGACCCCTAATAAGTCCACCTTTATTTGTTTCGAGGCGGTAGGCTTATAAAATTGTGAAAATTAAATAAACAGACTTATACAGTGTGTCCGCAAATTTCACCGACAATGTTTGACTGCATATTCAGGACGATAAATAAAAACGATCTACGAAAAAAAAGTTAAATAAAAAATTTTTGGATTTTGAGTTACAAACCTTCAAAGTTGTCAAAAATAAAACTAATTTAATTAATAACCTCATAACCCTTTTGCCGATCACGTGAAAATTTGGCACATTTATTTGGACTTTTATGGCGTTTCGGTTTGCGTAATAGTGTCATATATTTAAAACTTTAAGTTCAGTAGGCGGTGAAAACAAGTTGTTGGTTGCTGTGACTATCAGGTAATGTCATTATTGTCGTGTTTCTTTAGTACTGTCATCGCTCCACACATGCAAATTATGAAGTATCCGCAGTGTATCAAGACAATTAAATGTATGTAAAACTATTGTTCACAAAATTTTGCCGCTGGTCGGTGAATGGCTACGCAGAAGATAATAATTTGCTTCAAAAATTGTTTTGGACCGACAAATCTTACAAGGTTTTACAAGGAACGGAGTTGTAAATTTTTATAATTTGCATATGTGGAGTGATGAGAATCCTAACGAAACACGACTATAATGGCAATCAACAATGTTGATTGCCATTGTTTTCATCGCCTACTGAACTCAAAGTTAAAAAATCCATGACATTGCTACGCAATCCGAAACATACGGACCTGCAAATAATGCTATTTTTCTCAAGAATGGTTTTCTGTAGGCGATTTTCCTAAGACATTTTTTTTTTAAATAAAACGACCTTTTCACTATTGCTGCCCTTTTTAAAAAAGTACGACCATTGTAAAAGTTTTAACCGCTGTGGGAGAGGTAACCGGAAAAAACTATCACCCAGTATCTCGATTTAATTAAAGCTTTAAGAAATAAAAGGGTTATGAAGTTATTAATTAAATTAGTTTTATTTTTGACGACTTTGAAGGTCTGTAATATAAAAACCAAAAAGTTTTTATTTATCTTTTTTTTCGTAGATCGTATTTATTTATCGTCTTGAATATGCAGTCAAACGTCGTCGGTGAAATTTGCGGACATCCTGTATAAATAAAATGAAATAAAACGTTATCTGAAAACAACAACTCGTGGTGGTGCTATTACATGGCTACCTAGATAACCCGATCAAAATATTATTGATTTTTATTTGCGGGGCTATCATTAATTAAACATTTATATAAAATACAAATTTGTATTTGGTTTACGGATCTAAAACTGTTTGAAATTACATTTAATAAATTACGAAAAATGCCAAAACGATAATCTTTTTAGAAAATATTAACTGATTTTTTTTTTTCAATTTTTCGATGTCATGACCTTTGTAGCGGCTACAATTGGACTTTTTTTCTAAAAAAATAATGTTTATATGTACCCCTATAAACTATGATTTATTTTATTTTTAAAACCAGCTATATACAACAGCGACACCATATTGTGTTTAGTAATGCATATGTTTTGATCATGGCCAACGTTATCTTTTTTTAATTTAGGACAAAACAGACGAGATAAGTATGACACACTATGATTTCCATTTAAAAAATCTAACTTTAACAGACAAATCGAAAATGGTTAGATATATTAAAACTTTAATTTTGAAATTGTATTGTATGCAAAAAATCTTAAGATGTCTCAACGTTTCGGAAATAAAGCTCAAGTGTAGCCTTTACAGGAGTCAACCAAAAAATTGTTTGGCTGTATCTGTTTTGACTTGACGATTTCTCAAAAAAAAAGTGGCCAATATTTTCATAAACCCAGCCAGCTATATTTATAATAATAATCGAGATGCCTAAGAATAACATCAAAAATGGGATGTACTTACTCTCTACTAAACAACATAGAGAAGCCTATGTTTTGGCGTTGACATTTACAATAGAGAAAAATATTTAATATGATTATACAGGCTGTTACAAATTCGTTTCTCAGTACAGGGATCTCGGATACGGCAAGAGATACGAAATAGCTTAAATGGGGTCAAAGTTGTATAATCATGGGACCAACATTATGCCTCTAAAAAATCAAGGCTAATATGATTAGTTTTCGAAATACATATTTGAAAAAAAAACGAAATTTTCGAAATCTGTTTTTGTTTAATTTCAGTCTTGTTTGAGGTGATATGGCAACTTTTTGCCCTCTATCGAATGGCATAATCAATTTTTATATGTAACGTTCCGTCTCTCCAGGACCATCATCAACTTAATTTTTTTAAATACGACCCTGGAAATTTTATTACATTTTTTGCAAGCCTTCATGACCTCCGATGCTGTACTGCCTCAGCCCGAACCAGATTCAGACGTTTTGCTTCGAAAAATTCATCTTCAATGTATTTGTTCCAAAATTTATTTTTTTTTTAGATTTCTATATTTCTTGAATTATAGTGCACTGTAAGTGTCATTAGACCCTGTGAAATCCACGTAGTTATTTAACAGCCTGTATAAATTTGGCAAAAGGGTGAAGATTAATTAGATTAGAATATCTCCAAATAATCGACTTTTCGTAACATAACTGCAGCAAAAAAAATGTATCCATTTTTTTGTAGAACGATGTATTTTAGGTGACGTGAACGAGTTCCCTTTTTTTACGGTGAATATAAAATGAGGTTATATAAAATATCTGCGCAGCTCTTATTAAAAATACCTGCCAGTGTCTCCGCCAACGGGCTTTATATTTGTAAACTAATCAATTGAGTAAATTAATCCAAATTTTATCATCAGATTT